AATACATTCTGTAGCACATTTTGTTGTATTAATGATTTTAACGCCTTTTGGTAATTCTAGTAATTTTAAAATAGATATTCTATTATTACAAACAGTTAAGAAGGTGTCAATAGCACTATAAATAAAGTATATACTATTATTAAAAATATTCTATCAATTCAACATTGTTGCCAGGAACATAAAAATTATTGATTCAACAAAATCTAGTCGAGAATTTATAGTCAAAAGTAATTTAAATTCGTCAAAACTGTTGCCAAATTTTAGAACCTAGTAAACTTATTTAGATTAATTTTACAGGAGAAAATCTTTTTTTGAAAATATTGTTATCAACTGTTTAAAGTTGTAAAATATATTTTCGAAAAAATGTTTCTCTTGTAAAATTAACGTAAATAACTTTACTAGGTTTTTGCAATTGAACAACAGTAATATAGATTAATAATAATAAAGAACACATAATAATAGTGAAGAAAGATACAGAATTCAATTAGATTCAAAATTTCCATGTGATTTCTGCTATTATGATCGTGTCATTGATTATGGGAAAAGTAAAATCCGATATGCAGTGTATATCCTTGCTTTCAGGAAACATAGTCATTAAGGCATTTGAGTATTCAGTGAGAAGCTTTAATATTCGTTAAGAGCGCTGTACTGCCCAATTTCCGACAATTTGCAAATGGTGGGTAATGAATTATTACGATCGTCTGCAGCTGCGCTTTACGCACACGGTCACGGACTATTCAGACTAATCCATAAAGAGTAGCCTATTCCAAATTCCAATGCCTACTACTACTACCACTACTACTACCACCAAAATCCATTTGGATCCCCAAGCACATGTCTTTGGCACCTTTTCTTTGACATTCCAAACCAAATCTTTGTCAAGGCATTAATTTTCATTACTAAAATCATTTCCTCAAAAAAAAGTAATTTTTAAGAAAATACCTAACTGTTCTACCTCTTAAAGATTTATTTTCTTTCCGAGGGGAAATCTATGATAAGAATCCAGTTTTGAAAATGTTTTGTCACAGTCCCTCTTAATCCTCGAGACTATGATCAGTATAAGAGAGACAGGTTGTCATGAGGCTTTGCATAATCGTGAGTCGCAGTTCATGATATATGTTGAATCTCTTGAGAGAAGGGGTTACAAGATAGATAAGTTGAAAGCAAGATGAGGAAGCTTTCATTGAAGATAACGAGGCGTCGCGTAGGTCGCCAAGTCGACTCGTCCTTTGAGGTTATGGCCAAAAGCCGCAGTACATTATCATCACCACCACCAACTTCACTTTTTTTTTTTTTTTCTTAATGGCCAAACTGATAAATTCCTAAGATACTTGAATGCATTCTTTACCATTGACTAATACATTGAAAAAAAATGTCATCGAGGCAAAGAAGCGCCACGTCAATGCAGATCCGGTCTTTTTGCGACGCAGAAGTACCGCAGAGATCAATAAAGGGCCACATTTCAAAAGGGCACACAGGGTATATATTGTAATATAGTAAAGGGAAAATAACTCAGGTCAGTTCTTGTTGGAAAAAAAAGAAAAGCCTAAAAGCCAGGTAAAACTGACCTGAGAAAAGAAAAAAGGAAAAGAGGGAGAGGAAATGTGAGGACGTTGGTACAGTTGAAAGCGGATGGAGGGGTCAAATACCAAGGCGAAGGCGTCAATGAATTTTCACCTACCTATGTTTTAAAAGTCTTTTGTACAATAAATACTTAAATAATATACACGCGAACGAACTTGTATTTTTCACGCGCTTATTTTATTTAGGGAAAAACAATATAACTTGACTAGTTTCAGTCTGTAATTAATTGAAAGGGAGGGTGGAGAACAGTGAACGAACTGTGTATAATGCGAAAAACTACGCCGGTTCTCAGTCACTCAATTACAACAACACACATCCCTCAGTGACCACTCCCGCACAACGACTGAGCCGGCAACGCTGTATCTGATGAGGACTCGGATCACCTCGTGCTAGGGTTCGGTAATTTTCGAGATGTCTCGTTCATCTTCGCTGTTACTCGTCTTGTAGCCGAAGTATTGATCGTTACCCGGCATGGCCGCCGACGAACTTGGGTGGGGCAGCCGTCCCGGGGCCGGGACACGACATGCCGTGTCGTGGCGACTAACCTTCTTCTGTCTCTTCTTTTCTCTCTCTCCTTTTTTTCCGTTACAACGTCTTCTCCTCCCTCTCTTGCTCATCATCGCGTCACCTCCACCTTCGTGTGAAAATTAACTCCCTCATCAAGAGGCTTCTGCCTCTTGGATCCTCGTTATGGAAAATCGTGACCAATTTATGTCGCGCCACAATTTCATCCTTCCTCCTCTTAATCGTTCACTTCTTAAGAGTGGACCGAGACCAAAAATCACTGACATTCCAAGACTTCGATCACGTACCGCAAGAGAAGCAGATAACTTCAGATTTAATCAACTCATGATTTCATTCAGATGAGAAAAAAATTGACTCTTTCCTCAATTTTTAATAATTATGCAATTTTTCAACCACTTATTTTCTCATCTCGCGAAATATAATCTTTCAGAAAAAACTTGTGATTTAAAAAAAAAAAATAAGTCTTTGACTTATACCGATCAATGTTTCTTTCAAGCTTTCGACATGTTTTCCAATGAGGTTATATAAATCATTCCAAGGAACCTAAATAAATGAGATACATGGAAGTCTGTCATGGCAAAGAATTTCATAAATCTTTGATAGAAAATATAAAATACACAATATTTACGATTTTTTTTTCTAATTAATAATCCAAGTATCTAGAAAAGATTGAAGCAAACTTTTATATTGAAAAAGTTCAACAAAATCAATATTTTACATCATTAGGAGCATCGTTTTTTAGTGCTATTTTTTAGTTTATTACTGTTTTTTTTTTTAAATCGTTTACCTCATTCTGAACTATAACCTTAATTATTAACACGCTACAATTATTTTCATTATTGCATTCCTGAATACAAATTTCCGATGGAATCTTATATTTAATGATAACTTTCCTTGCTATATCATTCAAACATAAAACGATGTAGAAAGTATTTAATTCCAACAGGTTCTAAATTGCATTAAGAACAAACACTCGCGAGAAAAACACAACTTCCTCATAATCTGGCATCAAAGGAACCGAACTGTGCATTGCAGCCCTTTTTAGTTATATATGTATAAGAAATAATCGTTAAAAATATTAACAGCATCCTTCATCATAATGAAGCTCGTAGTGTAAATTACATAAAAAATTAATATTAGCAACATTATTTTTAACTAATTTGGAATTGTGTATACGCAACTGTAGACAAATTGGTACAAGTTCTCAAAATTGCATCTATTTTTGCAAAATTAAGATTATCTTTTTAGTTTTGACCCAATTGGGTAATTTTTTTTACATTTTTTTTTTTTTCATTGGAAAGCTGAGATTTTTTCCAATAAAATATATAAAGATAAAAGTGGAACAACAATGATTTTGCGAGAAGATGTAAAAAAAACCAATTTTTTATCCTGTTTTTTATATTTTCTCGAATACCCTTTGTTGTCCCACTTTTATCTTTAAATATTTTATTGGAAAAAATCTCAGGTTTCCAATGAAAATGAAAAGAAAGGAAAAAAATTGCCAATTTGCAAAACTTATATACTTTATTTAAAATATATAGATAAACAAGTATATTCGTTTTTATTTCTTTAGAAAATTTGTAAAATTAGTTAACGTTTCCCAAATTGAAATTAACGTTCACGCCTTATCACTAAATACAATGTGTGTATAAAATCCCATGCTTATATACGCGTCAAATAGTTAGCTTAGGGTTGTATATATGCTTGGGGTAGATGAACATTTCAATATATTTGAGAAGCTCGATTTCAATATGCACATGCGCTTCCAAAGTGGATGTACTTAGGTGTAAAGTACTCTCAACAAACCCTTCAACAGTTTAGTATCATGTTAGGAGATGACGGTTTCAAGTGGCGGAAAAAAAGTATTCGCAAAAATAGCATCCCATCTTCACTGACTTGAAAAGGATGCCAAGGGTAAATCAAACTCACTTCCATTCAAAGACTGATGAATAGCAAGGGATAATACAAAAGGGATCAATAATATAACAATTATTTATGATTCTTTCTTTTCTTTTTAAGATTTCAAAACAGTATCTATAATTTACTGCAAACATATTCTTATCTATATAGAATTTTTCTTGAGAAAATGGGGAAAAATCACGAGAGGCATTTCGATCCAATATTCTTGAATTACAGTCACATAAATGATTGATAGATTTAAGTCATGACATTTTCTTGTATTTAGAAAGAATTTTTAAAGCGGTTTTTGATTTTAAAGAAAATTTTTTATTTTTACTGAGATAAAGTATGGAATGAAGAAAAATGTACATTGAGAAAGGCTATAGACATTAGAGACTAATTGATCCTATGGGAAAGAGCTAATGAGTTATGTGAGAGAGATATGGGAAAAGAAAGAGTAAGGTGTAATTAAAAGGATTTACAATTGCAAGAAACAGAACACTAGAGAATAAACGGGAGTTGGCAAGGTTGAAAATGAAATATTGATCTGCGAAGGCGCGCGCAACCCCTGCAACCGACCCGCCCCTGTCCACCATTTTACGCAGTTCATTGTTGAAAAGGCCCAAACAACTTAATCGAATATCTACTTCCGAGTTAGAGAAATGGGATCTGAATTCACCCCTCGCTAAGAAAAAAACATTTGTTGATCATCTCCTTCAAAAACCATCGAGTTTCACCCTTCATCCCACTTTTCTATCGATAAAAAGGGAACCCTATATTCTGGTTACGAATTTATTACTTCAACCAACTATAATTAAAGTTAAGAACATTAATCTTACATTTTTCCTATATCAAAAAATAATTGTTTTTCTTCACCAATAAAAATATTCAAATTATCAAAAAGATTTTCACAATTTTTAAAATACCATTATTTGATAGAATCTAGTAATTGTCAATAAAAAAAAGAGACATATATGTAAAATTTTGTCTACCTGTACAATAGGGGCTCTATTCAAATGTGACCACACTGCTGATCGAGAATCAATAATCGAGTTTTTAGAGCACAAATATTCTCAATATATGTACTCAATATTTATATCGTGATGCCAGCTCACCTGTAACAAAAATGAGAAAAAGTTTAAAATTACATATGTCAAGAGTTTCGCTTGAAAAGCATTATATATTGTGTGTTTTCAAGATAAGATGCGAAATTAGGACGTTACAAACAAAACTTTATAGAGAAGTTGTAGGACAAAGGAAACAAAGAATTTATCATCTTATAAATTTTAAAATCATCCACATTTTTTCAATGCTCTTGATATCAAACTATCTTGTTTAACAAGTGCCCAGAGAAATAAATATAAATTATTGAAAAAAAATATATATATCGACATAAAAATGGCCCTTTTACGTAATTCTAGAAACTTTATAGATTCAACGGTGCATTTCCAGTGCAATGGATAACGCTTTGTTCAAAAGCAAACAATATAGCCATGCATGATGGAATCAAACCTTGTAGGGGATAACTTTTAATTACTTTTCTGATGGTTTCTAATTATTATTTTATTCTAATTTTAAAAATTCAATAGTTAACAATTTCGTTCTTATAATTTCAAAAAGAGAACAACAACTCTCTAAGCTCTTCTTTATTCAATTATTATGCTTCGATATAGTGCAAATGTTCTAAGTCAAATAACCAACTACTGTTATTTCAATATTGCCGGAGCGAATATTTATTGTCATAACTAACTTTTCAACTCCATTATATGTAAATTATGTTTCACTTCACAACATTATGAATTTCAAACTAATATAGAAAGTTGTTTTTGAAAAACTGAAAAAGCTTAGGCAAAAAATTTCTAAAATTTCAATTCACGAAAGATCAGGAAAATGGTATAAATCGATACGTTTATACAAATAAGAGATTTGCCACACGCGATACATTAGATCCGGTATATACATATAAATTTATTTACAATACTGTCTCGATTTAGTTGCACGAGAATAAAGTTATACATGCGGGACTCGACAATATCGACTTTGTCTGTAGATGTAGCGCTATGCATAGTTTCTTTGGGGAAATGGGTCTAGACGCCCAGGTATGTATAGCGCTTAAAGCTTCACCGTAGGCAAACAAGGAGAAGTTCTCTCGTACAGGAACTCGTGATCGAGTCATTAAGTGTGTCTCTAGCCTTTACTAAAAGTGCCTTGCCTTTACCCTAGCAACTCTCAAAGATGACTCTCTCTTCCCCTATACCTATAGAAAAAACTTGTAGCTAATATATAATTTTCTTATGCGCATAACCGACAAGTAATTTTCTTTTGAAATTAAATCATTTTTTTAAGCCTTTGTATTTGCGAAAAAAAAAAATTAAATACCTTTGCATATTTCATAGACTATTAAAATTTTTCATTTCAAAAAAACAACCTTGATAAAGAAAAATGTTTCATCAAAAATGAATATTCCATGTTTTTTAAAAGGCAGTAAATCATTTAAAGCAATTTTTTTTAAAAATTTTACAACAAAGATAAATGTAAAAATTATTTTATTTAGTCTTGAAAAATGAAACGGTTTAGGATTATTTTTCACAAAGAATAAAAGGGAATTACTTTGAACAGTGCACAAGAATAGCATTTGTAAGTCTTTGTGTTTGAAACGCTACAGGTGGTATTATTCTTGAGTTTATGAGTACAAAAAAAAGGGGGGGGGGGCACACACCACTCTTGAGCCTTTAGTACATGAGTCAAGAATAGAATTGTGAATCAAATTGTTGATAGGGAAAAAGAGAAAGGCTTTCAAAGCATCAATTAGTATATACTGGATGCTTGCAATGTGCCATTAAGGAAAAAAAAAAATTCGAAACCATTAAGCCGAGGGTGATAAAAAATATATACATTTTATAGGAAAAATTAAATATTATATGTTTGACGGAAAACTATCAGCAATACTTCAAAAAAAAATTAGAAGCATTAATTAACATCACTTCTTTTTGGATGTCGATTATAAAAGAAAATTAAACTTCATTGGCGTCTTTATTACTTTGCTTTGCACTTAACTTTCATTATTGGCTTCAACCTATGCAGGTGGAAAACTACGTTACTCTAAGAACCAATTTAAGGGCAATTTTCGACAAACAATATTGACATTTTGATTAACTTGAAAATGACAATTAAATGTCAATATATTGCCAAAGATTTATTTTTTTTTATAAGGTTGGTTTCTTTTCAAACATTATGTAAAAGAAAAATAAAATTTGAAAAGAACGTTTGAATTTGCTAATATTTTGGAAAATATTTAACAGTTATTGTGAATCCTTGCGAGCGACGACCCGAGTACTGAATACTCTTGTCTCCAAGATCACAGAGTGTGCACTACGTAACCTCAAGGTCAGGCTGTTACTACTGAAACGATAAACATACTATTCTCGTGTCTGTTACCTAATCTAAGAGAGACCAACAGTAATACTACGTTTACTACAACCTACGCCATTCACGCCCCCCCCCCCCCCAACCTCGAAACAAACTGACTAATATCTTGAATTGCTTTTCAACTATATCGCACCAATCAACCCCTAAATAATCAAACATCTGACTGACAGGAAATGCTCAAAATTTAATAAAGGTCTGAAATTCCAATTACATCTACGAAATACACGTTATCGTGCAGCTGTTGTAAACGTGAATGAGATTATTGTGAAAAGCCGAATTGAATAATATTATAGAAGAGGCAATGTACTAATAAGTCAACATTTAGAATAATTCTGTTCCAAGAAACAGCTTTTAGAATTTTTGCTTAAAATTCGTAAAATTAATGTATTTATGAATGTTTTCTTTTTCACAAATGAATCAAAATCTGTTAATCGGGGGTTTTCAGGGTCGCTGAGTACGAATCTGTGCTCAGAATTTCGGAATTCAAAATGGCGGACGCGCTTTCGAAAAATCACTCGAATTCATTTTGAGGTGAATTCAAGTTATTTTTCGAAAGCGCGTCCGCCATATTGGATGCGCTATTTTGTATTCCGAAATTCTGAGCACAGATTCGTACTCAGCGACCCCGAAAACCCCCGATTAACTGATTTTGATTCATTTGTGAAAAAGAAAACATTCATAAATACATTATTTTTACGTTATTATTTTTTAACTTTAAAGTGCTGTAGCTAAAAAACTACTCATAGGATTGAATTTTGGCATAAGGAATTTTTGTTCAGGAAGCCTTAAACTACAAAACTACAGAGTTTCAAAAGATTTGGCTGAAAGCCATTTTGAATGTAAAAAGTGCGGGGTCCTTTGCTGCTAATTCGATAGACAGGGATACCATTTATAATAGTAAAAAGTTACCATAAGTTACCATTTTATTAGTAAGGGGAACACTGTTGTTAGTACTAACAACTAATAATTATTGTAACAGATAACATTTAGTTAGTTAACCTTACTAATAACGTTTATTGGTTAAATTGTTATTTACATTCAAAACAATCTACATATTCCCATGAGATTAATAACTCCCGCAAATCCATGGTACTTTTTTAACACTCAATAAAATAATTTATAATTTATATAGAAAATATAATGATATAAAATATATAAGAACATAATTCACCGTGTTGAATACTTCAACCTATTAGCCCAGAATTATTCCAACCTTTAGTGTGAGATTTTACTGATGTTGGAATTTAGTATCTAAATCTACTTTTTACTGATAAATTTAATTAAATTAGAATTAATCATAGGTACAAAAAAGGATTTCCATTTTTTATTAAAACTATTTTCAAAATATGTTATATACGTGACAAAATTATTTGCATCCGTAACATTTGCTATCTTTGGCAACGTATATGTGGGGGAAAAACGAGGTAAATAAATGGAGGCGCCGGACCTCTGAATAATAAATCTCGCGACAAATCCTCAACGAACATCAGTTATATGACTGTTATGGGGGTTATCACGATACTGCGAGTTTTGTCGTAACAGAAACTACAAGTCATTATTAATTTATCACCAAAAAAAAAAAAAAAAAATGTGTTAACGTTATATCTAGTAAATATAGAATATTGATACGCGTAATTTCAGTCAGGGATTTTCTTTAATACCCCATTGGGGAAATATTAAAGGGGATAAGTAATTAACAGAGTTAGAAAATTGTCTAATTCCCTTTTGAACAATTTACATTAATTAAAAGTATAATAAAAGTATTATGAGAAGAAAACTTTTACTCAGATTAAAAGAGAAATGATTAAAAACAAGAATAAAAGGAAGATAAAAGAAAAAAAAGGAATAAAAGAAAAATAGCAAATTTTCTTTTGTGTCATAAAAAAAACAGTAGAAAATCAGTTTTTTTTTTCTTTGTAGTTATTAAATGAAAAAAATTGTGAAACAAAACAATATGGCTTTCTAACGTATAGAAATTTTGTTTTCAGGATCAATATACCTGGGTTTCTGGGAAGCAGAACTGGTGAATTTGGTAAGTAATTATTAGAGAGAATAAAAATTGGTTTCTTCCTCTTTGTTTCTTAGACATAGTGGTTAGTAAAAGGAGTCAAGTGACTTCATGTAGGTTATTTGACGATGCGAAAGTTTGCATGTGAACGCACATACGCATAAAGTACAGAATAATGCGTCACTCGGCTTGGAATAGCTACTGATGCCAACCTCATAGCTTACATACATTCGCCACCTTCGTCAGTAATGTTTCTTTGTATTGATCGCAAACACATACTCAGTACATATATGGTACATGTTACACACCATATGTGTTCGACCAAATTCTACATTATTCCCAAGAGAGAATAAATCAGTTTCAGATTTTTGGGAAATTTCTAAATAAATTTAATAATTGATCTTTTTTTTCGATGAAACGGATAATATTTAAGTCAGTAAATTAGAAATAAAAAGTTTGCGAAGGAAAATTAAAGTATATAAAATTAAATAGAACAAAATCAGTTAGGGGTAAATATGTTTATGCATACATGTTTAATTGAAGAGATATATAGATGGTTTTACAGAAGAAGGTAGTTGTAACATGTGACGTGTACAGTGGTACTTATAGCTTTATCATATCTAACAATAAGTCATGTGCGTCAATTGAGATATACGTGAAAATAGGTATCAGAAATAGCAACCACGTGTTAAACATTTTAAAATTACGTTTCTTTAAACTCAATAATTTTTATCACAAGGTACTTTATGTACACACAGACTCCAGTGTTTTCAAATTTAAAATATTTTTTTCCCTATTCATAGAAGTAAAATTTTTATTTAATTTTTTCTTTAATCAAAAACAAGAATTTATTTATAAATTATATAATAAAAAAATTCGGACAGTTTAACAATTTCAAAATTAGTTCTTAATTCATGAAAAAACGTCTCTGGAAATAAATAATTTGAAGTGGAAATGTAACTTCGTTTATTATGTCATCCAATTCTTTGTCGAGGTCAATTCGCTCTCTAGGACTAGAAGGAAAACATTTTCTCTCATCGAAAATAAAAAAAAAAAAAAATTAAATATGAATTTAAATTTCCTGTTAATTCTAAAAAAGAAGTTGTACCAACTTTTTCCCTCTTTCTAAAAGTCATTTACAAAAGTTGTTAAAAAGCTGTTATAGCAAAGATTATATGAATTTTCAGTGACTTTTTTCCAACTCTGATATTATAATCTTTAATATTAGAGTGGGAATTATTTTTATTACTTTAAAATAATATTATAATCAATAGAATAAAAATAAAAGTATAAAATAAATAGAGAAAAAAGGGAAGTTTGTTTAATTTTAAAATTCAATATATAAATAAAATAATTTTATCAATATTTCGTATCATTCGACATAGGGAAATGTATCTGTAAATTAATAACATGAATGCAATTAAATAAATGCCAATATATGTTATACGTATAAATTTCATTAAAATATCTTAAATGAAAATTTATAACCATGAAGTGTGTTGTCAAGTCCATTTCATTAAATACAGAGGGTAGAATGAAACATTACTACACATTATTTGTATTGAAATATTAAAATCAAACTTTCATTTTTTTTCTATATTTTTATTTAGCTCTCTAAATCTGAATTAGTTAAAATGTTTACCAATTTAATCGTAAAAAACTTCATCTACGTCTAAATTAACCAAATTAAAGTTAACAAAATATTTGGTTGAAAGAATCAAATTATTCAATGAGGAACTAAATTTTTATTTAGTGATTTAACATTCAATGACTAGAAATGTTAATATAAAATTCTGTTACTCACAGAATGATCAATATTTCTTGCATGGAAATTGAGTGAAGATAAGGAAATAGTGCCAACATCTATATTTCAAAATTCTGATGACATGAATTCCTTTGTTCAGGAATCGATAATAAAATCAAAAAAAAAAAAACTTTATACGAAAAAATCGTAGTAAAAAATCTTCATCTAAATGTAAATTATTTATTGATTCAAAGGTTTTAAAAACAAAATTGATAAACATTTTAATTTAAAAATGAACTAATTTTTGTACGACTTTTTTTTCATAAGAGATTTTTTTAATCATTTTGATTTTATTAATAAACTCCATTAAATTGAAAAAAAAAATACATAAATTTCTATATCGACATTAACTCCTCGGCGTTACAATATTTATATATTAATTAGAGCACAATATAAAGTATGCGCTACTGAAAAGCAAACAATATTCTGGGGTTATAAGCGGTCAGTTTAGCGATCGTTGGGCGTGAAAAATGAATGGCTAACGCTTAATTAGCGTGGGATAGAAGAATGCAGGGTCGACAGGATAAGAACCTTCTTCGACTATATGTAAACGTATAGGTGTATATATATATATATAAACCAATGAACTACACGACCTTGGAAAGAACGCGAACCCGATTTTCTTTACTTCCACATAAAGAATGTTCTAAATATTTTCGTCTTACACGATAATTTTAATGGATATAATCAAAATATAATTAACTGATAAGAATTTTCTATATATAAAAATTCATTTTAGATGTGAAATAGTTGGAAATTTTGAAAAATATTCTCATTAACAAAAAATGAGGGGAGAAAAAACACGTGTTAAAAATGTCCTCATATAATTGATTACATTAATTTGCGCATGTTGGAATCAACGCCTTATGGAATACCTTAAACGCCTCCTTATTCTAGAACCTTCTACTCGCAAGGACGCAACTCTCCCACACAATTTTTTTTTTTATATTTCAATACAAAATTTCCCAGTGACGAAGTAAAATTTCAATAAATAGATTTCTTTTATATCTTTATATAATAAAAAAAAAAAAAAATTCACTTTCTAACTAGAAAAAAAAAATTTATTTGATTTAAATACTCGATTACTTGATTATTATCAAATAAATATTCATTTGAATCAAATAATTATTTATTTCAATCAAATAATTATTATTTGAGTCAATTAAATGTTTTAAATACAGAAATTATTGGTTAAATTTATTTAATTCAAATAAAAATTATTTGGTTCAAGTAAATATTTCTTTGATAATAGTCAAGTAATCGAGTATTTGAATCAAATAAATTGTTTTTTTTCAGTGTGAAAAATTTTATTAATTATAAAATCATTATCAATTAGTCAAACTTGATTTCTTTTTAATTTTTTGGACAAATTTTTTTCTAAAAAATCGTAATTAGTTATTTTTTACTAATTAAAATAGTAAAAAGTCAGCAAAGACAATTAGTTATTTTTAACTACATAATTCAGAGAGGAAGTATACACCCAGAAAAAAAATGTGCTTGATTTAAAGAAATGAGGTCAATGCTTTATGTTATTTATTTCAAAGAAAAATTTCCTTGATTCAAAGCAATTTTTTTTTTAAATCAAAAATAAATATTTTTTATATAGTTAAATATTTTTTCCCTATCAATTTACAAATTTTTTTGTTTAATAAAAAAAAACAATTTTCTGAACGTGTAAAAATTTCATAAAAACGAAATTGTTTTTTTTTTTTGACAATAGGATGTGAATAAAAATTTCAGAAAGGATTTTTCTAGTGAAAAGAAATTCACGTCATATATTATTCATGTTAGGTGAGATGATATCATGAATCTAATGCACAACCTCCGGAATAATAATAATAATAATAATAATAATAATAAAATAGAAATAAAAAAAAACGCCATCGAAATTGTAAATAATAAATTAAATCACATTTTTAAAATAATTTTTTGTATTTGAAAATTATTTTTTTTTTAAATTAAATCCAAAACTAAAATCCAAAAATGATTTGAAATTTAACATGAAGAATATTAGAAAAATGTGAGTAACAAATTTATACATATCTGACTTTCTATAAACCCACGCAGTCAATGACCTTTACACTTTAATCATAAAGTCTTGAAATTTGCCTTTTTCCAAAAAGACGACCCCCAAAAAAAAAAACTAAACATTTTCAATCTAAATCGTATGGCCTAATTAAAATAAAAAAATGAAGTAACAAAAAAAAATTACAAATTCAATCAAAATTAAATTAAAAATAAATTAATTAATTCCAACTAATTTGAAGAATATACACTGAAAAAAAATTTATTTGATTCAAATACTCGATTACTTGACTATAATCAAATAAATATTTACTTGAACCAAATAATTATTATTTAAACTAAATAAATTGTATTTGAACCAATAATTTCTGTATTTGAAATAAATACCATCTCGCAAATAATAATTAATAGAAACAAATAAATATTTATTTGATACTAATCAAGTAATAAAATATTTGAATCAAATAAATTTTTTTTAAGTGTATAATTTAAAAAAAACATTCGTAAAATATTCAACTTTTTCTCAATTTATACTTGAGAAAGCGGAAATGAAAATAATTTTTTGAAATCAAATTTAAAAAAATAAATTTATTTATAAAATATCGATTTACAAAAAGTTGATTTTTTTTGTAAATAGTTAAGAGAATCGATATACCTTTTTTTTTTAATCAAAGTGCGATATATAAAATAAAAAGTAAATCAAAAAGAGAGAACACAGATTAAAAAAAGATTCTTTCATCTTCGTGGGTGATCAACCTGAAGGAGAGAACAGAAAAATGAATCTGCGCCGGCCTACGATCTCCCATTTCTGCTCGCCTTATATGGATATAAATGTATGTAAAAATGGATATGTTTTTTTTTCTATTTTATCAACGCAAATAAGCTTTTTAATTAAATTATCATTAATTCAAATTCAATCACAAAACTGTCAATTATAACAAATTTATATTTGACAAGTAGTTCCTCTTTTTTTCACGTGTATATAAGAAAATAAATAATAAAAAAAAAAAAAAGTTTAAGGTGTATTTTTTCGCCGGCGAAATATACAATATGGCGACAAGACACTCCCCTCACCCCCTTAAGCGTCGCGTGCGTCATAATCATGAAAAGCGACTATCTTCAGACGAACCCGCATTTTGATCATTTGATAACTAAACACTTGTAATCAGTATTTCACATTAAGAAAATATATTTTCAAAACAATAAAAGGACAAATGAGTCATTTAAATTAAATAAGAGAATTGTGAAATTTACTATTTCCTTCCTTTTTTTTTACCCCCGATGTGACAAAGTGCCAATCGGCGTGGATCGCCTGACTACGGGCTACGGGGTTCACACGGCTTAAGAGAACTTGCACTTTTACACAGTTTATTAATGGCGAGACATATAATAATGAAATTGACGTGTTTTTAGATGAATTAAATAAATGATTTTCTTAATTTTTATATAAAAACTCACCTTTTGAGTGCAGTTAGTGGCCTGGAAAATCGGCTTCGGCGTACTTCAACAGCTCCCGTCTACTACGATCTTGCGGAGTGCACTGTCGTGATCAGCGGAAACCGCCATATTGGACTGCGTTCAGAAACTGTTTCCGGTTATTCAAATTTTAACAAAACAATTTTACTTTAAATATTGATTTTTTTTTCCAAAATTGTGAAAAAGGGAAAATTATCCTACAAATTATTTTATAAATGAATAATTAAAGTACATATAAATATACATTAGAAATAGAAATAAAAAATATTTAATAATTTTAAAAAATTAAACATTCTAAAGTAATTAAATTACTATTCGAATTGTTACGTTTTTAATCTTTGGTACTTTTCCTTATTTATCAAATTTAAAAAAAAAATCGCGATTTATATTTTTTTTATGTGTAATTAATAAATTTTTTTATTTACAATAATTTTTAAATTACTCTTTAAAAAACTTAAACCTTTATCACTTTATTATTTATATTGTTTGTAAGGAAAAATAAATTTAGAACAATTAAAAAAATTAATTTATTTTTAATTTAAAAATTTAAAAAGAGGTTTCTGAACGCAACCCCTAACGACAGCGCCATCTGTAGTGTAATTTTCAAACTTGGAAGCACATGGTTTGACAGCGTGTTTTTATTAATCACACAATCTTGTTTTAATTTTTATAATTGTGAATAATTGTTTATAAATATGCCTAAATCAAAGCGGGATAAAAAAAGTAAGTATTATTTATTTATTTAAAAAAGAAATTATTATATGTTGTAAAAATAATAGAATGTAAATTAATTTTTTACTACACCTAACCTATAAATATGTTTTCTTTGTTTTTTATACACATTAAAATAAAGTAAAATTATAAATAAATTGAAATTTCATTGCAAGAATTAAATTTAATTTATTAAATATAATTTTAGTATTTTAGTACTAATTCAATGAAATAATTTTAATTTTATTGTAGTATACATAACCTAAAAGTTATTTTTTTTAAATTTCTTTCAGTTTCTCTTACTAAAACAAAGAAAAAAGGTCTTGAATTAAAACAACATGTTATTGAAGACATAAGATCAAGTGTAGATAAATATGAACGTATTTTTTTATTTTCTGTGCAAAATATGCGCAATAATAAATTAAAAGAATTACGTGCAGAATGGAATGACAGTCGATTTTTCTTTGGTAAAAATAAAATTATGGCACTTGCTTTTGGTAAATCATCAGAATTGGAAGTTTCTGATGGTATTCATAAATTGGCAAATGCACTTAATGGACAATGTGGTTTATTATTTACAAATAGACCGAAAAAAAAGGTAACAGAATGGATGAATCAATATGGAGAAGAAGATTATGCTCGATCGGGATTTGTTACTGAGGAGACGATTATTTTACCGGAAGGTCCAATGCCAGAATTTCCACACAGTATTGAGCCACATTTGAGACAATTAGGAATGCCCACATCTTTACAAAAAGGTGTTGTGACACTTGTCAAGGAATTTGAAGTTTGTAAACAAGGACAAACTTTAACTCCAGAACAAGCAAGAATTTTGGTAAGAAATATTTAATTGAAAAATTATTTTAAAAAATTTTTTCTTCAGTTTAATTCTTAAAATTTTTGTTAACTTTCGGAAATAAGAGAAAATAATTTTTTCGATTTTTTTACAGAAATTATTAGGAAGAGCTTTAGCTACATTTAAATTAACACCACTTGGAGTTTTTTCAAAGAAACATGGATACAAGAAATTAAAGACAGAGAACACTGAAAAGGAAATGGAAGTTGATGAAGTGGAGACGTGATTTTTATAGAATTTTTTTTTTTAGTTATAAATAAATTAAGTTGCAATTTAATTATTCTATTTTTTAATTCCTTTAAATTAAGAATTTTTTCTTTTTTAAACGAAATAATAAAAAATTTAAATTGAAAATCCAAAAGGAAATGACAATCTTATTTATTCATTTGTTCGTCATAAAATATAAACAAATGATTGCAAATGTCATTTATAAGTTTTGATTGTAACAAATTTTAAAAATTTCAGTTTAATATTTTATTTTTCATTTCAAAAGATTAATTATCAAAATGTTGAGTTTAACATGGATTTTTCTCTCTATTTGGATATTTACATTTGTTCTAGTAAATAAATTTTTAAAAAAAATTTGTTTTTTTTTCTATAAAACAATAGTTACATTTAAATTACTTTTAATTTTAGGGAACGTATGTTGTTTTAAGTGGCAAATATTCCAATAAAAAACAAAGATCTTTAATAACAAAATTAAAACCTCGTCGAAGAAGTGAAACATCAGTTGATTCATTAGAAGTATTAAATGTTGGAATGAAGTCTTGTACAAAGTCTAATATTACAAACAGAAACGAAGTAATTTAAAATTTTTTATATATAAATGTTGTAATTAGGTTTTAAATTTTTTTTTTTTTATTTTCATTTATTAAATTTCAGAACAAAACTCAATGGCCTAGTAAAACATCTTTATTAATGAATAATCAAGATTGATCAAGAAATTATTTTCATAAAAATTATTTAAACAAAATTTAACACTAATAAAAAAAAAATACTAAAAATGAACATTAAAATTAAAATTTAAATAAAATTACTTGAAATAAAAATTAAATTTTATTATAAAAATTTAACTAAAATTTAAAAAATTGTGAGAGTAAAGAATAAAAATTTACGATTCAGAGAAACTAAATGTATTTATACCATGTAGTACATAACTAGCGTAAAATATATGAGACAAAAATTCTAGAAATTCCAGTAGTTCTTATACAAATTATATAGAGGAAACGATTTATAATACAACGCATATGATTTCTTTTTTTTTTTTTTTGCACTTGATGAAAGGAGTATTATTATGAGGACAGCAAACACAATCGACCAGCGAATTATTCATTAAATTCAATAATTATCATCATTTCCATGTGCAGTGAACAATATTCGCTCGATTCGTACTATCTTTGGTAAAATGCATTTGTACCCTCTTTTTACCACCACTACATTTATTTTATATATATTTATATAGAAAAAAGTTCACTTTTTACCATTTTCAATATTCAAAATTATTTTTTTATTTTATTTTTCATTCCAAATATTATATAATTTTTGATTGGCGAAAAAAGAAAAATTGCAAAAATAAATAAAATTTAAATTAGAAATTCTTTTTTTTCATTTTAAAATGTAAAAATTAGGTACAATGGAATGCTAAGCGGGCAAAAAAAAAAAAAAAAATTAATTACAATGTAAAAATATTTGATCGGGTATCACAAATCCTATTCTTCAATCGTTCATTATAATATACATAATTTCACGTAGCTTACAAACTAAAATGACATTTCACAAAAATGAAAAATAAATAATTTTTACATAAACAGTTTGTAAAAAATAAAAAAAATTAATCCAAATCGCACTTTTTAAAAAGAAGCGTCTTATAAATATTAGTAAAGTGTTTTTAGTGTCGTTTTTAGTGTCTAAAATATTTAATTATCCTTTCACACATTTGTTTTTTTTTAGTACTTAAAAAATATAAATCAAAAAATAAAAAGAAAATTGTACTAAGGCGATTTGAATTACTGGCAAGGACTAGACTTTTGCTTTTGAACAATAATCCAGTAAATCTGAGACACGAGTCATTTTACATAATTAAATCCTAAAATAGTCAATTTCTATTTCTAGGTGATTTTGCTATATTTGTAAACTAAGTGCATTTGTCATAATTGATACCTTTTTCTTTAACTGCCCGCATATTAAATTTCATAAAACAAAATATTCATATTTTCTTAAACTTTGATGAAAATTGTGATCACATTGCTAGGCACATTTTAAAACTACAAATATTAGGCACCAAATTTACGTCAAAAAAAAAAAAAAATAATAATAATAAAACTTAATACTAAAGACAGCCAGTGTCGGTAACTTAAATTATAATCATTTAATTCTGATATCACCTGCCTTGGAATGTGTTTTGCATTTAAACACCAAAGACGAGAACTTTTTTTATATATATAGCAATAATTGATTTAAAAAAAAATCCACCATAATTGAAACTATATGTACATACAATTCATTTAAAAAAAAGGAAAAAATACAACAGCAATTTTTTTTTTCAAAGCTACTTAAAACTGATGATGATTACATTGAGTGTAATTTTTTTTTTCTTATTTTCGTGTTGACGTTGAAGTAGAAGAAGAAGAAGCAGCAGCAATTTTCGATGTACTTTGAGAATCAGTGATCAAAGAATCGAAATTCATTTCGGTAATTGGTTCTCTCCAGTAAGCAAATTGACTAAATTCATCTGCCGCGTCTTCACGTAAAGCAGGAAACAAATGATCTACTATGAAACTCATATTTGAATATCTGAAACGAAAAGAAAGACAAAAATTTTATTTTATTCTCTCCATAAAACGAAATAAGGCAAAATGTTTTTTTTTAAATTATATGATTGCTGCAATCGTTTCTAAAGAAAAAAAAAACAATGATTAATAGAAATGATTATTTTTGATGAGTCTCCAGTAGAGTTGATTTTTTTTTTAGATACAGTACGAAAATGACAATTGGTATTTAAGTATTATAATTGCAGGTAATTAATATGATTAATTGTATTAAGTCGTTTTATTTAACATTCAAATTTTAATGTATTCTTAATAATACCCTTTAAGCATTTTGGAAAAGAAGATTTTTTTTCAAACTAAAGAAAAACGATTATTTTATTATGAGAAACACCTGGAAATTTTAGAAATCATTTTTATTTTATCGAAAATTCAAAAAAAATATAAATAACCTTTGTTCCTTTTGTAATTATGAATATAATTGCTTATATTATATTTCTGTAGTAAAAAAGTATTATAAAAATTAATAAAATTCAAAATTTGAATTCGAAGCAATTAAAAATTGTTTTCAATATTATTTTTAAATAATAAATAATTAATGAAATTTGAATAAATGCAAAATAAGCTTTTTTTTGAATTGCAATACAGTGAAAATGTATGAGAATTTTATAAAAAGATGAAAATTTTAAAAAGTAAAAAAAACATACAGTGGTAAAAAAATATTTAAAAATATTCAAATTCACGTTTTTTGAATTTTCGTTAATATAGAAATTACTGGAATTTTTTATGGTAAAGGAAAGCCAAAAAAAAATGAATATTAAAGAGGACTGTGCATGAAAGGAAATTTGAGCAACTAAATTCTGCAAAAGCATATCGGCAATGAGAAATCAAATATACCTTCTAACGAGTGCTTACCCTATTAAATTATAAGAAGATATGCAGAAGTGGTTTCAAAACGACTCATCATTATTTTTCAACAGGTTTTTTTTTATATATATATGAATAAATAACGAGTAAAATTTTTAAAAATTCATAAACTACTTTAGATTTCAAAAATAAAAACAGATCAGATTCCCAATTCGAAAAATTTCGCGATATAAAAATTATACGCGAGTATACAATTATATTTAAAAACTTGAGTATTTTAACAAATACATCAATATTTAAAATTATCAACGATTTTATTAAAATAAATATATAATTTTCTCTAAATACTTCTATTTAAAATTACTTTATAAAAATATTTCTCTTTTTATCTACCATTAACTAAAATACCATTTCGTTAAATATTTTCTATAAAATGCTTGTATGATCATTAAAATTAAAAATTCATTTTTCTCTTTTTGTGAGGGTGTGTGTGTGTGTGAAAACTTTGCTAGATATTGAATACTAAATTTTATCATTTAAAATTGGCTAGAGTCGAGTTGTCATCGTTGAAAAGTTGATATTTGTTCAGATTTGTACTGTGGCGGGAACAATTCATTGACAGTATTGCTCTGACACGCATAGCTGTGAACACACAAATAACCCACCCGTCAAATATCAATTTTCTTTTTTTTTTTTTTCTTTTTTTTTAATTATTTTTTTCCAAGTTTTCTTTCAGCAGCCTCAATTTTCCGTAATTCGATTTATTATATGATTTTTTTTTCTTCTTTTCCTTCTTTTTAATGAAAAAAATGTTGAAATAATAATAAATCGAAAAATAATATTAAACTAATTTAAATTTCAATTATATCGATCAAAATAAGGAGAAATTAAAAAATTAGGAAGAATAGTTGGATTATTTTCTATATACATTATAAAAAATTTGATTGAAAAATAATTTTGTACTCACGATGATTGGAATGTTTGGGTCAGTTCATGCTTTAATTCGCCACGATGATTAATTGTAAAGATGCGCATTATTGGAATTCCAACTGCTCGATAGGCCCATACGTCCTAATGATTAAACAGAAATTTTTAAATTATAATTAATTTAATTTTAATAAAGCAAACGAAAATTTAATTTCAAATCAAGCAATTTAAAAAATTCCATTTTAATTCAATTATAATTGTATTCCATCGATTTAATTATAATTAAACTTCTTTCAATTTAATTACAGTGAAAATTTCACTTTTAATAAGGAAATATTGTTCTAATAATAATTGAAATTAAATTCTTACATTAATACGATTTCCATATCCAGCATAAAATGGTTTTGATTCCTCGGGAAATAATGCTTGTATATCACTTAAGCAGGAAATTTTAAATTCCTCAGGTTTCTTTTCAATGACCTCGCGATGAAATGCCGAAATTAAACTTGTTGGATTCAATAATAATGGTCCTTCGGGTAATGATAAATCACCTTGTTTAATACTCTTTAAATATTCCCTTGTGACACGTGCCTGACCAATTGCTCTTGCCGATAGATAAAGTAATTTATAGCCATTATTTTTAATTTTTGTAAAAAGTTGAGCGACACCTGATTGCGCCCAATCTTTACCAACAATTGGCAATATATGACCAAGAACATCCGATTTTGTGATAGTTCCATCAATATCGGAAATAACTATTTTGTCATCCCATCGCCATTTATAAATGTGACATTTGCAACGTGTTGTTCCTTGATAAGCTGTTGTCACGCTAAACACAACTTCATTTGGTCCTTCCTTTAAGTTGAGTGTTGCCTAACAAAAAAAGGAAAAATTAAAATTTCATAATTTCAACAAAAAAAAAAATTTTTTCTTTTTGACAAAATAGAAAATAACTTACAATTTGTTCAGAAGAAAGCCTGAGGGTTTTTCTATATTTTTCAGTAGCCTCGTAATAGGGTCTCCTTTCTATTGGTATTTTAATACCTGGTGTTTTATTTTGATTACTGTCAGAATCTTCACTGCCACTGTATCCCTCTCCTTCTTTCTCCGGTTTCACGTCACTTATTTCCTTATGAATAATTTCAGGAACATTTACCTGGGGTTCAACTTTATCATCTTCGGTTACTATCACTTGTACGGGTTCAACGGTTTTTATTTTTCTAAAGACATAAGAAAATTTTCACTGTGAATTCTCTCCGAATTAAATTACACCAGAAGGGAAGAAAAAAAAATACTTACTCTTCATTTGGTTTATCAGTTTCATCTAATACTGTTTCTTCTTTTACCTCGTTGCCTTGCTCCGAAGGTGCTATTTCATCTGTTGAAAATATTAACAAATATTAAAAATATTGAAAATATTATTAAAACAATTTGTAATATTTTCAATATTTTTAATATTGAAATATTTAAAGTTGAATATTTGATATTAGAAAAATCACCTTGATTAATTTCCTGTGATTTTTTTGGTGTTTGAGTTGTCGATCTTCGCCATGAAAACCATGAACTATAACTACTGCGACCCTCGGGTTTTGTTTCATTTTCCAATTTTTTATCATCATGCAATAATATTGGCATATATTGAGAATATAAAATTCCAACTGCCGATTGTGGTAATTGTCTTTGAAATACAGCAAGAGTCATTATTATTGGACATGCTGTTGTCCAATTATAATATTTTCCATTTATTTTCACTGTGAGATTTGGATTCTCATATAATTTTGGATCAGCGCATAAATCCTCAAAATGAAGTTGATTTTGATGAAATGCATCGTCCGATGGACCAAGTTCAGAATCAAGTCCTCCACATAATGAAAGACTTACGTCTATATTTTCAAATATAGAATGCTTTGGTTCTTCAAAATCACTATCAAGAGATTTTGGTCCACCAATAACGCCCTCAAAACTATTAGGACTTTGCGGTAAACTTGGACCATTTCCAGATTCTGCGTCTTCTTCGTCTAATATTTTTCCTTCTAAAATTATAAATTAGAAACCAAAATTTTGTTAATTTATGAATCATTTTGTTATAAATAATAATTTGTATTATTATTACTATTAATTTCATTATTATTATTATTAGTTTCTAAACTACGTTAGATATAAAAAATTATATTTCTATAAATTAAGAGGAAAAATATAATAATTTTTCTCGTTGTGTGAACAAGATTCTATTTCGAATTTCACAGCCTGTTGGTGAAATTGTTTTGAATTGTCTTAAAAATTTTTTTAATTTTCTAATATTCTAGGGAAACTCAAATTCAAAGTAATGTTGAAAAAGAAAATGAATGATTAAACAAATAAAATCGATGAAAGATTTTTAATTGAAAATCCTTTACTAATATTTTATTAGAATATTAATATTAATTAATAGATTAATTAATAAATAATATTCATAATAGAAAATGTTAAAATACTTGATGCCGATAAGAAAACGTGTTAAAGGCAGAGGCGGAAGCTATTTTTTTTAAAATATACCTTTAACGACAGAAGGACCACGATGGGAAGAGGGAAAATAGAGAGCAGCAACTTCGGGATCCAATTCGTCGGCTTTAATATCACTGAGATAAATTCCCTCTGATTCTGGATTGTGCCTTACGCGAGAAGTCTTCTTCATGAAGGAGAACATGCCACTGAGCATAGACCGACGTGCCTCTGCTACCATTTTAAAAGCAGTTAGCAATATAATGGTTAGTAGAAAGAGGTGAGAAGTGAATAAAAGTGCTTTCAATTTCCAAAAAAAAAATAAAAAAAAAATATATTCGGCTACAAGGATTTAATTTAATTCTATCAGTGTTTGAATTTTCTACTTTATAAATATTTTCTTTCACTTGAACGCAGGCCTTGATGCAAACTGAAATTAAAATAATTATTGAAAATTTTTTTATGATACTAACTGTCATTATTCTGTGATGATTGAACAGTCGAATTTATTGAATTCTTGTGAGAAGCGTACGCCGAATCTGGAGGTGGACTTGGCAATTCACCCCATCTCCAACTTTGTTGATGACTCTTGTCATCATCCAAATCAGTTGTTTCCAATGTGATTTTTCGAACTTCAAACTCTGAATCCGATTGAACGGGCGAGCATGGCCTGGAATCCCGATTCCTTTTAAATGTGAAAATAAAGTAAACGAATTACAACCACAAAATGCTAAGTGTCGTAGTGCTGTGTGTCGTGAAAATTGTCGAATCGATATGAGCTTCCTCTTTACAATTATTACAAAAAAAAGAATGACGACATAACATTTTCTCATTTATGTTTTTGAACAAATTATATAAGAAAATTTTATTTTCAATTATATTGTTAATTAATTAACAGTGTAAATTAATTACAAATAAATTTTAATTCAATTTCAAAAAATGAAAAACTTTTTTTTAAAAATATGTAAAATATTTAAATAGTTAAAATATGTAATTTATTTGTAATTATTTAATTTTGTGTTAATAAAATTTGTTACAATAATTTGTTCAAAATATAATTGGAAAATTTTTTTGTCTTCAAAAAAGAATTCACATCTCAAACGACGACATGGTGTATAAAATCATTCCAACACTGTATAATCGGTTTCTGTTTAAAACTGAAAGATAAACAACGAAAAAATACGATTCTAATGCAAAACGAAATAAAAGGTTGAAATTAAAAAAAAAAAACAAAGCAGCATTCATTTGACAATTAGCAAAAAAAAATAGTGTGCAAAACTTACTTGGTAACTTCCGTATCACTAAAGAAGTGAAAATCAGTCTCTGGAAGTACTGTTGATGTTGTTGTTGTTGATAGAGCGACAGACGAATCTTTTGAATTATTATCGATGTCTGCTGAAACAGGTCCTTTGGAATTTTCATTCTGCAATTCTTCAACAACTAAATTATCACTTTCGCTCATTTCCGCTTGACTACTACTGCCATTACTCGCTTTTCTTAGTGAATTTTTCTTTCTCATAACACTTCTTCGCTTTCGTTTTCTCTTGCCACCTTTACCATCGTCATTACTTTCATCCTTGGAATTTTTCTTTGTCAATGATGATGTATTTGATTCGTCACTTGATTTCTCCTTACTACTACTTTGTGGATCATCGATTATTGGTCGAAAATCATTATTAACAACACTTATCTTACGAATTCTATCGGTTGATGTCACGGCTATAAATGATTTTGGTGTTGATACGGGAATTGATACTGTATCACCATCAAGACCATCCATATCAAAAATTTCCTCATCAACTTCATTTTTCATGAGATCCTCTTTATTTTCCCAATTTGGCTCTTGCCAATCGGTGAGTAATGCCTTTTCAAATTTCTCCCTTTGTTCCGTGGGTAATTCAGGGAAATTTTCTTTAAATAATTTTTCTTTATCTTCATTTTTCAATGCTGAATATTGTTCGCGTATCATTTGTTGTTTTTGTGAGGTAGATATTGATTCATAATATTCTTTAAACATTTTGTCACGTTCCTCCGATGTCATTGAAGCAATTTGAAGCCATTTTTCTCTTAATTCAAATGGCAAATCAGAAAATTGTTCAACGAGAAATTTTTCACGTTGATCAGGTGGCAAGGCGGACATTTGCTCCCATTTTTCTCTCTCAATTGATAATATTGAATCGCGAAGTATTTTCTCGTGTTGCTCATGAGGAAGTTCCGAGAGTAAATTAAATCTTAAAAAAGAAATTTTAATTTTAAAATAGTGTAAATTAGAAAAATATTAAAATTTAAAGAAATTAAAGAAACCTGATAGGTGGAAAGCAACTGTCATCGGGAATTGGAGAACATGCTAAATGCGGTGGAATTTCGGAATCTAATGGACATCCACTGGAGCTCACTTCCTCTACGAAAAATGCCTCCCCAGATTCTCCAAGTTTCATATGAATTTGCCTGGCATCTCCATTTATCTCTATGTCCACCTTTGAAGAAAATTTTCAATTAATTTAAATCTTTTTCTAATCTTGAAAAAAAAAATTATTCACTTTTTTTTTAATTACAGACTATTTAGCATTATTTTAAATTTTAATATTTTCTTTCAATTAACTATAGATAAATTAATTTAAAAATAATTTCTTTTCGTCATATTGCATTTATATATGCAATTGCTAAATTGCAAGAATAAGTGAAATTAAAATTATCTACAAATAATTGTTACGTTATCATAAAGTTCAAAGTTCAAAAATTCATTTTTTTTGCCAATTTTTATTTGTTTAAATACGAATATTATTTTCAGTAAAAAAAGAAAACTACTGAAAGAATTTAATATTTAAAGAGGATATAAAAAAGATATTAAAAATGTAAAAAGGAATTAAAAAAAAAAAGATTCTAGAAACTTACAATTTTTTCCCGAGATCGAAGAACTCCCAATTTTCCAAATCTGACATGAAAAGGTGAGCAGGTGAACGATCCATCAGGTTGTTCGACGACAACAACGTCAATAGCTCCAGTTAAAGTTGCTGCATTTATTTCATTGTAAAAATCACGAAAGTTACTGATGAACTTGCCAATATAGTTCATGCTGTACATTTTAGTGAACGATTTTCAAATGTCGGGTTACTTTCTTAAAATTTCCCTTGAGACATGACAAAGCACGTCTCTAATATAAAATCTCACCCTTTCTTTCTTGTATTTTCCCCGAAAAAAAAAAAATTTCCTATTTTACACGCTCCAAAAATTAGCTATCACACTTCATTTTCAATTTTTCTCATCTTTTCACAAGATTCTTAACACAATTATCACGTCAATAGGTATTACTATCACTTAATCGAATCATTAAAAGAAATTAAAAAATTTTTTTTTTAACACGCACTGATATGACAGATGATGAGAACTGTCAAAATTTTTCATATACAAAGTAGTATTTTTGACAGTTTATTTCTTCTTGTTTCGCGCACAACGACGCGTAAACAACTTCAGCAGGTGAGAAAGTAAAATAAAAGAACCTTACGATTCTTTGTTACTGATGTATATGAGCAAGAAGAAAATGTACAAAAGAAACAACTCAAATCCTTTGTCCCTTTAAAGATTCGTTTTGGTTATTCACAAAGAGGCACAGCTATGCTGCTGCAGCAGACGGCAAAAGTGACGTGCATTCGATCACGTGGCCTTCGAGCCAATCAAAATCCAGGATACTTCACGGTCAATAAAAGGGACAGTCACGTGGTCATTGACACTTGAGCGGGAACATTTAAACTGAAAAAAAAAGAATTTTCAATTATTTCTTTTGTTGATGTAATTACATTCATGACAAGAATAATGCATTTATTTAAAGTGAACTGAATTAATTAATAAATAATAATTAATTATTAATTAATAATAACATTAATTAATTAATAATAAATACTTAATAAATAAATAGGTAATAATATAATTTATGAATTAATAATAATTAATTAATTAATAATTAATAAAATAAAATGAAAAACTGAATCGTAAATTTTTAGTTTAAAAAAACGAATGAAATTAATGAGATAAAATTTACCTACTTTCTAATTAAAAATTTTTTTTTCAATGACATAAGATTATTTGTATTCCTTTTTAAGAAATATACATATTCAATTTTTATTTCTATTTGCTAATATTTTTTTTACGGAAAAATTATAAATACAGATTTGAAATATGTAAAGGGCAATTTTTCTCAAGGTTTATATTTATTTTTCTATAAAAAAAATGTTGATCATTGAACCTTGAATGAAAAAAAGTATATATATATATATTACTTATACATATATTATATGTTACGTGAATAAATATACAAAGACTTCTAGCAATTATAATTTAGAACCAAGATTTCCAGTTTGCTGTCATAACAAAAAGTTAAACATATCATTAAATATATGTACATATATACGTTAATCTAGTTCTAGTTTTCAAAAGTTTTTTAAAATTCTACTTTTATAATATAGAATTTTTTTTTATAATAAAATTATTATTATTAATATTAATTATAAAAAAAAAAAAATAATTAAAAATTAAATTATTTAAAAAAATTAATTAAATAAATAATAAAAAGAAACACCAAAATAGTAATAATTATGTAGATATTATGTAAAAAAAATATTTTCTAATCCTCTATAATTTTATTATATTAAATTAATTAACATATTAAATTAGTTATTAAATTTTCAAGGAGATATTTGGAAATTTTCTCTCTTTTGGAGGTAAATATAATATGTACTTGAAATTAAAAAGATTTATATACAAAATAAAAAATAAAAAAAAAATTTATGTATGAATATATAAATACAAAAAAAATTTAATATATTAAATAAATATTTTTATATTTGTAGAAGAACATTTTTTTTCAATAATTTATTATATTGCTGCCCCCCACAACCCGAAACAAATTTTATTTATTATTTATTTTTTGTTATTTTTTTCTATTAATTTTTAATTATTTTAATAATTAATTTTTTAATAATTTTTTAATATTTATTATTTATTTTTTGTTATTTTTTTCTATTAATTTTTAATTATTTTAATATTTAATTTTTTAATAATTTTTTTAATATTTATTATTTTTTTTTCAATTTTAAATGTATATTTTAGGGGAAGTAAATTCGTTCAGGATGATAAATTGTCGTAGAATTCTCGATTTTGGCACAAAATCAAAATTTACGATTGTGGTAAATTCCACAACCGATCCTCTTTAAAAGCAGTTATAACATTATGAGCTGAGAATTATTTTGTCAAATTTGTATAAGAATTATACTATTTTGTTATTAAATTATCTAGTAATAATATGTAATTTAATATTTAAAAAAATATCATATTGTAATTTACTATAATTAAAAATTAAAATTAATTAATTTTTTTTGCGTAATGATACTTTTTAAAATGTTTAGAAAATATTTTTATTCATATTTCATTAGAAATTGTAATTTATTTTTTTTTATTGACTATTTTTACTGTTTCCTGTAGTTGTAATAAAATTATATTGTTTTTCGTAGTAACTTTTTTTTTTTAGTATTACAAAAACTTAAGAATGAGCGATGGAAAATATATTTAAAAAGATTTTATCTTATTTTTCATTTATTTGCCAAATAATGTATTAGTCATTTGTTGTTTACTTCTTTTGAACATTGTATACCTATATGAATGTTATTGTAAATTATGCATATTTTTTTTTGTAATAATTCTCAATTATTCACATACAAAACTGAGTTTTTTTTTTTTTTTATTTAATTTTTCTATATTTATAAATTAAAGAAAATGCAATTAAAATTTTTTTTTCCGTTGAGATAAGAGAAAAAAAACTATGAAAAACAATATAATTTTTTTTTTACAATAATTTTATACTAAAAAAATGTTGTTAATTTTGTAAAAAAAAAAAAAATTTCTCTATTGAAATAAAATTTACAAATAACAATGCAAAATGATAAATTTATTTCTTGTTTGATTTCAACGAATGAAAGTGTACTCGCAATGTTTTAAAATCGTTGTCAATAATATTTGATTAATGTTCATAGATCAACAATATTTAAAGTGAAACATTTTTTGCAAATGAAAAATTTTATTATAAACGTGGAAAAATATTTTTTTTGCAACATTTATTGATTAATAATTTTCAAAAAAAAATTTTTTTTAGTCATTTTATAGGAATTTTTTTTTTTAGTTACTCGTTGGGTTATAATTATTGAAAGTTGAGAACTTAACTACCTTTTGATAAGAAAATCTCTCGGGTATTGTAAATATATTGTTTTTTTTTTTAACAAAGAAATTGTCGATTTGTAATTTTTTTATATTCACGGGCTGATTTTATCATTTTTATCGCAATTTTTATTTATTATTATTTTTATTATTTATTTATTTTATTATTATTATTTTTATTTATTTATTTTTTATTTTCATTATTTTTTTTATTTTACTTATTATTATTATTATTATTATTTTATTCAGTGAAATAAACGGGCTAAAGTGTGCTTTAGAAATAAAAAAAAAAATAATTTTTTAAAAAATTTTTAAATAAATTGTAACGAAATGATTTTCTTTAATTAATTTAGACTGTATAGTCACTATATATAATGAAGATTAGATCAGCAGACAATGGGTTTCCTGATATATTGAAAGACGCCAAGTGTTGTTCTGCGTCGCATGTGAGGTCGTATTATTTCCGCTTTGATACGGTTCGCCAAAAATTTTGTTGATTAGGTGCCAAAAGTTCAAGATCCATAACCGCGATATTCAACTGACTTTTCAGAATTATATATCTATATACTTATACACTGAAAAAAAAATTTATTTGATTCAAATACTCGATTACTTGAGTATTATCAAATAAATATTTATTTGAACCAAATAATTTTTATTTGAATTAAATAAATTGTATTTGAACCAATAATTTCTGTATTTGAAACAAATACCATTTAATTGACTGAAATAATAATTATTTGATACAAATAAATATTTATTTGATAATAGTCAAGTAATGGAGTATTTGAATCAAATAAATTTTTTTTTCAGTGTATTAATTTATTTGTTCTTCAAAAAATTATTTATTTATTATTTTTCTATATTTTTATTTATAAATAAATTTTTATTTTTTATTCGTCCGAAACTTATATTTTTAAAGATTTTTTTTTACTCTTATGTTTATGTATTATCAGACATATATGCATTTTAGGTGAATATATATATATGTTTGACGTAGAATCACTTTGTGAGCTTCCTTTGATTGGATCATTGATGCGAATATGTCCAGTTATTGTGTTAAATTTTCATGAACTATATATTATATACATTTATGGTTAATGTTTCCTAGTATATATTGGACATATGTATTACATGAATACAAAAATTTCTCTTTCATAATGATTGCACAAAACGGGTATATATACACACTTGATGGCAAATAAAATCTAAATATAAATCCGTCCATTGCCTGGGAATAAAATTTATATGTATATACATATATATAAGTACATATGTTCGTACATAGAACATGTGTACACATATATATATATATATTAGGTCAATGTACCTTATTTTTTTTCAATCTTTGACAAAAATTTTCAAATTTTTTTTAAATTCCTTCTTTTTAAATAAATTAAAAAATTGTTTATTAAAAGTATAAAAATTTAATTAATTTTTCTTATTAAATTAATTTAAATAATAAATAAAATAAAAATAAAAAATTAAATTAAATACACACTAAAAAATAATACTTATTTTCAGTTCACTTTTGACTAAAACCGTTAACATTAGAACCATTTTTACTGAATTTCAGCCTTGAGTTTATGATTTTAAGTCCTAAAATTGACTTAATCTAGTTTTAAGATTAAAATTACACTAGTTTCCAGGCATTTTCATTTTAAGATGTTAAAGGTTTCAGTATTTGTTTTTTGTGTGTAATAATTAGCTTATTATATGTATTTTGTTGCATAATGTAATAAAATCTATTTTTATTTTGATAAAAAATTGCATAAAGAAGAATTTTATAATATTTTGAAAAGTTTTGAGATAAAAAAAAAAAAAAAATTCTGAGATTATATTTGACACGTGCATCGTCGCGGAGACTTTCTAAAAATTCGTGAGACCCTCTGTGACCCGAAAGAAATGAAATCGGTGCCATCTTGAGTGCTATATGCGTGGGTTTTATGTACTTTCTTATACATATTCATCAGTATATATATATAGATATATTTTTTTTTTGTGCACTATTATATAGAATCTCTTGTTCATCATAAACATTATACCGGTTTTCAGTTTGTACTTTTGCTTTTCTTTGCTTTCAAACTATTATTTTTCTTTTATAAAAAGGTCTAATTTTACTTTTTTAACATAAAAATCTAATTATTTATAATTAAGTTTCAGAAAATGAGACAAATTTATAATCTTCTATTATTTATAAAAAATTAAGAAAGAATTTTTTTTTTTATATTATTATCATCATTTTCTGAAATTCATGTAAATTAATTAATGCAATATAATTAATTGCTTTATATCTTTGTAATTCTTGTATCTCTTTTGAAATTAAAAGTCTTAATATTTTAAAAAAAATTTTCTACTCATTTTTCTTCAAATGTTTCTCAATATTATAGATACAATTTTTTTTTTAAATTGCTAATTATTTATAATTTTTTATACCAAACTTATTGTTCTTTATAAAATATAATAAAAGTAGTTTTTTTAATTAAAAAAAGTTTTCATAAAAAAATTTGATTCCAAATGCATTTAACAAACTAATTGAGAGTCTAAGATGAGCAAAGACTTTTCCACTCTCTCTATTTTTAGTCAACTTCCGGCAACGAAATGGGGATGAAGTCACAGATGTACACATTGCATCATTTCAAACCTAATTTAGAAATATATATTTATTATGTTTTGTCAGTCGTTTGAATAATCATGAAAGTAAAAAAAAAGAAATTAAAAAAGCTATTTAGAAAAAAAAAAATATATATATTTGTCTCAACTATTCAGGTTAAAAATTTTGTTTGGCACAAATAAAATTTTATTTAGCGAAAAATAAAATTTTCATATAAATGAAATTTATTTGAAAAAACTATTTATTTAATTTTTTTAATGGATTTATCTATTCATATTTTTTATTTATATATTTTCATTTAATTATTATTTATATTAAATTTTTTCTGTCAATAAAAGGGTTAATTTTAAAAAATAAATATATTTATTTATGTAACGTAATCAAAGTTAGTGACATTTATGTAATAGGGAAAGTCAAGTTTTCACGTAACTGTTTTAATATATAAGAACATGTGCGATCTTGACGTATAGGATTTTTCATACATCTCTATTATTGACAAAAAAAATTTTTTAAAAAACCAATTATTTTTATATCTGCGTATTTTTTTAATGTTTTTCTTAAAAAATCTTTTTTATTTTATATTTTTTCCTTTCAGATAAGAAAATTTTACATTGAAATTAATTTTGTTAAATAAAAATAAGAATCTAAAAAAAAGAAACCTGTTAGTCACCTGCAAATATATATATAATCATTTTTGTATAGTTTTCAACAGTTTTATATTAAACTTCGACTTTGCTCTTTGTACAGTATATATTTTTTTTCCTCTCAGTTTTTCCTAACATACAAATTTTCTTGGCACAAAATTTTCCTCAAATTGTCTTCTTATAATTTTGCAATCATATAAAATATCAAAAATTTTATATTATATTTGGTGTTAATGTTATATAAATGTGAAAAATATAAATTATATCAAACAAAAATCAAAATAATATAATAATAATAATAAAAAAATTCGAATAAAATCTTTTTTTTTTCTCGGCATTATTAAGCCTATATTTGATATGATTTAAATTTATCAAAATACAGTGAAAATTCACTAAAATTTCATTGGCTTTTTTCCAACGTGACCCTTGATCATGGACTTGGCATTGAATTTGAAATTTTCTGTTTGCAACTATTCTCGATGTCGCATAAGCGAATGTATTTTAATTAGGAAGTCTCCATATATTATTAAGTAAATTATCTTCACGTTAATTCAATTCAATTTTTAAACTAATTTGTCACTTGAGTATTAGCTAAGAATTTTACTATATTGATTATTATCATTTGTAAATTATAATATAATTAATATATAATAATAATTATTATTATTATAATTTTATTATTACTTTAATTATTTTTTGAATAATATAATTTAGGTTTTATATTTATAAATTATATATACTAATTTTTATAATTGTAAATCTTTTTTCACTGTTTATAATATATAAAAAATTTTTAAATAATCAAAATCCTAAATTTTTGTTGACACTAAATTTTATATACCTATATGACGAAAAGCATTGTGTAGTATAGAGGAAATTTCTTAATGCAACAACAAAATAACAGTCACGTGTGATTCATATATTTTGCAATAGGGGGATCAAGTAAATATTTTGACAATTTAGGTATATATGTGATTTGTTATTTTTAATTATTTATAATTTGTTTATTTATAATTATTTATATTTTGTTTATTTATAATTATTTGTATTTTTATTATTTAGAATTTATTTATTTATAATTATTTGTATTTTATTTATTTGGAATTTGTTTATTTACAATTATTTATATTTTGTTTATTTGTAATTATTTGTATTTTTATTATTTGGAATTTATTTATTTATAATTATTTGTATTTTGTTTATTTGGAATTTGTTTATTTAGAATTATTTATATGTTGTTTATTTGTAATTATTTGTATTTTTATTATTTTGAATTTATTTATTTATTTTTTTTTTTTATTTATTTGGAATTTGTTTATTTATAATTATTTTTATATTTTATTTATTTGGAATTTGTTTATTTATAATTATTTATATTTTATTTATTTGAAATTTGTTTATTTATAATTATTATTAGTATTTTGTTTATTTATAATTTTTTGAATTTTGTTTGTTTGTAATTTGTTGATTTATAATTATTTGAATTTTGTTTATTTGTATTTAATTTTTAATAATAAAATTATATTTTTGTTTAAAATTTCCAATTTTGTGATTTTTACCTCTTTTAATTTAATTAATACAAAGTTAATGGAACTAAAAAAAATAATCTTGTTATTGACTTCATTATTAAAAATAAAGAGTAAAATCAGAAAGAGTCAATTTTCAAAAAAAAAAACGAAATTAATAACAAGGTGCAAAGTGCATCGCGAAAAAAAAGAATACTAAAGAATAGTAAGACTATAAAGTGAATAAGCATTTAATATATATCTAACACTTTGCCTGCGTGATCTTCCACGTTGGATCCTATATTGTTGTACTATATTTTTTCACAAACGTCACAAACGATTCTTTGAATAAACTATACTTAAACGTAAACAAATTTTCATGAAGTATTGTGTAATTGACAAAAATATAATTTAACAAAAAATTATATCACTGTTCTTATAAAAAAATATATTTTAACTAGTTATTATTATTATTATTATTATTATTATTTAAATTTATTAATATAATTTATATTTATTTTTAAATTAACTATTATATTTATTATAATATTATTTATTACAATTATAATTTATTAAAATTATTTAAAATAATTATTTGTTTATTTATTATAATTAATTTATTTTAGTAATTTTTTTTTAAAATTAAAGGTCCTGATTATTTATCATACTATTGTAACAATATAATTCAGTTGATTCATCAATGAAAAATTCGCGCAATTTTAAAATAATGGTACAAACGTGATTCAAGCACCATATAAAGAAAAATAAATTTCTCAATGAAAATATTTATATGTATAAGCAATATACGTTATTGCAACGATTTTGTTCTTCATATAAATAATCGAATATTATATTCACCTTAAGAAAAAAAAATATGAGTTTTATGACAATTATTGTAAAAAAAAAATAATGAAAATTAAATTTTGTTTTATACTATGCCGAAAGTGAAATAACTCACTGATGTGAAAGTTCTTGAAGTGGAAAATCAACTGCTCCCAATTCTTGTTCCCATGAAAAAGACTCACGTTAACAATTAAAGACTGAATTCTAACATCATCATCATCATCTTTCTCAAATTGGCAACTTAAAACATCATTTTGTTTTTATTATTTCAAACCAATATATTGATCGTATTATGGATCATCATTGGAACATTCTTTCAAATATTTGCACTATGTTTATAATAGAAAAGGCACTTTTATAATTATAATAATTAAAAAAGAGACACTTTTTGTGAAGAAAAAAAAAATTTGAAAAGAAAGGAAAATAATTAAGTGCGCGCATATATATATATACACTTATTGGCGTGCAACAAAGCGAAAGGGAAGAGAAAAAAACGTAGAACACGCGCGTCTTGTACGAATGCTTCAGTGAAACTGAATAGAAACAAGGCAAACTTATATCGGCTTTGACCGAGTGTGTATGTCTGTGTGTGCCTGAATACGTCTGGTGACCAGTGACGTTTATTCCATTTTATTGAATACGATACAACACGCGATATATATGTTTGTATAAAACTCCTACTTCGATTGGCTGTAAATTCTCGTACCAGAGATCAAGCCCCCTTCTTTAAAATTTCGGCAAATAATGACAAATTTTGTTTTTTACCTGCGATGATGATTCATCATGTCGATATGTCTCTATAACACCTATTTATTCTATTATATTTTTCTTTTTAACGAAAAAACTCCCCAGGGAGTTTGATTTTTCTATAAATACAAAAAATTAATATACAAAAATTTAAGTTAAATATAATTAAAAAAAAATTTTTAATTTAATTTTGTTATAAAATTTCTTACACGGAAAAAAATATTTGCCTGAAACAGCGAAAGATTTCATTAGAATAGCGAAATATTTAACTGAATCAAGTAAAACTTTTGCTACTGTAGTGAAACATTTCGCTATTCTAGGTAAATATTTTTTTCCGTGGTAGATAAAAAACGAAATTATGTAACACTAGCTATTTAGTTAGTGCCTTTTGTTTCATAATTTTTAAGTCAGATTTTCAAAATTCAAAATGGCGTAAAAAATATGGCGGACGTTTTATAATTTCATTAGAATCGCTTAAAAATGTTTTATATACTCAGAAAAATGTTTCTTTGAAGCAAAAAAGTATTTCTTTGATATAGTGTCAAATTTTCTTTAATTCTTTGATTCAAAGAAATATGTTTACTAAAACAGCGAAAGTTTTAGCTATTCTAGAGAAACATATTGCTGTTCCACAACCAGAGAAAAGAAAAAGAAGAAAGAACTAAAAGCTTCTTAATTTCAAAGAAATTTTCTTTGAATGAAAGAAAGTCTAAATCTAAGAAATTCTAACATTGATACAGGGTCAAAGAAACATTTATTTGAATTAAATAAAAAATTTCTTAGAAACGAAGATATAATTTTTTTAAAATCAAAAATAATTTATTTGAAACAAATAAATGTTTCTTTGTATCAAAGAAAAATTTGTCAAAGAAATTTGTTTCTTTGCCTCAAAGAAATCTTTTTTCTTTGTGCAGATAAAGATTTTTTTTCTTAAAAACTAGTTTGCTTATTACGCGTCTGAAAAAGTGAATATTCTCAAAATACAGTAATTATATCGCTATTATTTTGCTTCTGATAGCAAAAATATAAAAAAAACGTCTAATGAAAAAAACAAAACGCATCAAGTTTCAATAGCAAACCCATGTCAATAACATTATTATCAAACTTTCTTAATACTAAGAAGAAACTATATATTACACGTGCAAAATAAGACGTAATGTTTACATTTATGTTAAAAACCTGCGCAAATTCAATAGTAGATATCAACTTTGTTTAAAAAAAAAAACAAAACGCATATAAAGTTATTAATTTTTCTTCTTTAAATGCGAAATTTTTAAAGGTAAAATAGAATATAAAAAAAATATATACAAAATTTATTTGATTCAAATAATCAGACTGCTATTATCAACGAAATATTTACTTGAACCAAATAATTTTTATTTGAACCAATAATTTCTGTATATCAATACGATACCATATAATATAATAATATAATATTTTTATATATAATTATATTAATATAAAAATATAATAATAATAATAATAATAATAATAATGTTTCAAATAATCAATTTCTTTTGTTCACTTTTTTTGAACAAAATATAATTGACTCTTTATAAAAATTAAATGAATATAATTATATTTTGTTTTATCATTTATTCGGATTCGTATTTTATTTATTTTCTATTGTGCATTATTTTTTTCACTATTGTTTTCTTTATTATTTAGAAAAGACTATATATTATCAATTTCTTTTATTATTTTTTATCATACACCTATATTTAATTGTTTACGTGTATTATATTTTCATTTTAGGCTCACATATAAATATATGACAATTTAAAAAATATGCGGTCAATAGATAAATTATAACAAAAAGATAAAAAAGCTACTTGTTTATATGTTTGTATCTAATTTCATGCGGAAGCACGCGCGTCATCTTATCTAAAGAATAATGCTACAAAGAGAAAAATATTTTTTAAAAACCATTTTACGATTTGTCGTTATTTTGTATATATATGTATAGAGAAAGGAAATACATTACATTTTACAATGCACGTCATTATATATACCAACGTCTTTTAAGTCAATGACCTGATATATTTAATACTCTCATTTTCTGCATTCTAGATATATACATTTTACTCTCATCTAAATTTGTATTAGTGAAAAGTCGTTAAAAATTATATAGTAAAGAAATAAATTTTTACTTTTATATAATTTTTTTACACACAAATTTCAAAGTATCAAATTGATACCAAAAATATTAAATTCACAGAAAATTAAAAGGCATTAAAATAAGCGTTGCAGCTTATTTTAAGGCATTTTAATTTTCAGTGTTAATACAAATTTTTATATCAATTTGATATTTTTGGTATCAATTTGATACTTTTAAATTAGTATGTAGTCAATTTTTCATTTAAAGTTTAGTTGAAAATAAATATGAAAATAAGAGTATAATTTTAATTTAAGAATATTATTTTTATTATACCATGGAAAAAAATTTTCGCCTGGAACAGCAATAAATTTCACTGGAACAGCTAAATCTTCACACTAAAAAATAATACTTACTTTCAGTTCACTTTTGACTAAAACCGTTAACATTAGAACCATTTTTACTGAATTTCAGCCTTGAGTGTATGATTTTAAGTCCTAAAATTGACTTAATCTAGTTTTAAGATTAAAATTACACTAGTTTTAAGGCATTTTGATTTTAAAATGTTTCAGTATTTGTTTTTTGTGTATTTCACTAAAACGGTGAAAGTTTTCGTTATTCTAGAGAAACATTTATAGCTGTTCCAAATAAAGATTTTTTATGAAATAAAAAATTTTAAATACTTTTTGTACAGATATATTATATATATAGACGAATATACAAATCATAGATTATTGGTGTATTCGTTTTCACTGAATATTTTTAATATTTCGTAATAATGACTCGTGTGTTTGGGCAAATAACTATAAAATGAGTGTTGAGTAAAAAAATTTAGAACGTCATAAGCACACCCACAAAAGATGTGATTTGATTGGAGAAAATTTGAAGGTTACATTGAAACGACAAACAAGAATGTTTTTCAACTACCACGTGGTTTCTTTGATTCTCGTTTCAAATAAATAGTATAGAGAGTAACGCGTCATTTATTAGAGTAAATATTTTTCAATTGAAAAATACATTCCTTATAGATATATATTTTTTTTTTCTAAATGTTTTTATTATTGAGTAAGGTAATGATAGTATTTTTCTAATACGTAGTGTATGTATCAGCAAAAAGAAATTTTTTTTTAAAAAAAGCATAGTCAAATTTTTCCCATTTTTCCTTAGAAAAAAAAAAAAATTTTAATCCTAAACAAATTTATAAATTTATTGTTCTTTAATAATTTTAGTTCTTAAAAATTTTACATATTTTTAGTATATTTTTAGTATTTGTATTTTGTTTTAAATTACTAATAAAAAATTTTGTTTATTATTAATTATGTATTTTTAAATTATTTTTATATAAGATTATTATTTTTTTATCTATAAATATTATTATTTTGAATAATTTAAAAATTAATAGTTTATAATCCTATCAGTATAATTGAAAATTAATTAATGACATATATTTAATGTGAATTTAAATTTAAATTTTTAAATAATTTAAGAAAAAATTTATATATAGATTTCTGTACGATCGATAGAGTCATGTTTTATACTTGGAAGTTCATAAAATTTTCGTTCGATAGCGCTGTGAATAGTAACAAAAAAAAAGTTTTCAAATATTTATTCTTTTTCTGTTCTAAAATATATGAAACTTGGGATAGAAATATAATTTCTAATAAATTATTAAAAGAAGCTGAGGAAAAAAAATGGGGAGAAAAAATTTTTCTCATGTCTTGTAAAAAATTACTTTTTCTACTTTTGTCCAATGACTATTTCTACTTATATGTACTCAATATATTATTTGTTTTAAGTATAGAAACAAAAAGTTTTATTCAAATAATTTTTTTCAAATTTTTTTTTTAGTTATTATAATAAGGAAATTTGTAATAAGATTTTTTGTAAAAATTTTAATTGAATTATATAATTTTTTTTTGGAAAATTATAATTTGGAAAAAAAATGCATTGGAATTGAAAAGCAGGACTACTTTTTTTTTTTTTTAATTTGTCACGGCTATTTGTCCTTGACTGCAAACTTTGTCATTATCAACTTGTTTGGAAAATATTCAGTCTGTTAATAGTACATACGTTTCTTGTCGTATAAAATAAAAACGAGAAAGCAAAAAGGTGTAAAAAAAAACTGAACATGGACCATGATGCTTCCTTGCATAAAAGATAAGTAATTTTACATATACTTTATGTTCAGATTTCACCTTTTTTTTTTTTTTTTGTTATCTAACAGAAAACAATTTTTTCGCTAAAAAAAATATAGAAAATGCAACAAAAATTTTCTCTACAGAAGGTAAAATATTTATATTTTTTTTGTGTATTATCTAATATTTAATATTTGTATTTCAAAATTTTTTTTTCAAATTAGGAAAATTTACGAATATACAAAAAATAATAATTAACAGTAAAATATATTTATTTTATGATTTTTGATAGAATTTTACTCAAAAAAAAGAATTATAATGAGACTAATATTATTGATGGAAATAATTACAATAAGTATTGTTGAGTCGCCAACTAATTGTAAATGGTTTAAGGAAAGTGAAATTTTAAATTGGAACAATTTTTCATTTCCATATGCTTATAAAATTGACAATTCGACGAAATTGTCTAAAAATTTACATAAGTTTAGGTAAAATTATGTTTGAAAAAATTGAATATAGAAATTTTTGTTTCAAGAAATTAATTTTTTGATTGTAATTATATATAATGATAATTTAGCATTTTTTTTTTTTGCCTCAAGAAATTTGAAAAATTGGGATCATGACGCATATTGGATTTATGGGAATACTTATACAGATCTTTTTATGCCATTAATTTCGAGCAATTTGAAAAAAACTGGAATTGATCCAATAGACGTTCTCAATATCACCGATGTGATTTGGATGGTATTTATAATAAATTATAAAATAATTTTATAAAAAAAGGGTTAAAAATTGCCTTTAAAATTTTTTTGTATTGTAAAGGTACATATATCGAAAAATGTATTTTTTACTTTAAATAAAAATCCGCGTAAAAATAATTTTTTTGATTGGGACCGTTTGAGGAAGAATGACCCATATATATATGTATATATTGTAAACATACAGTTTCTTGAGTGAAATCGAAAGTGATCGCTCGATAGAAATGACCTCAAGTCTAAAGCTAATGAGACTGGATCTTATATGGGAAAAGTAGGAAAGTAGTTCTCGTCTGAACTGACCCAAATTTTCAAGCGAAAGCTATGGGTCTTGAGGACGAAACTAAAGTTTCAGGTCACCAGGTCGAGCGAGGAAGCGAAAGTGATCCTTTTGATAGAATTTCAGTTAACCGCGTCTTTCTTGTTTTTTTTATATTTTTATATTTGTTTACAGAAAATTAATAAAAATTTATAAAAATTGAAAATTATAAATTTAATTTTATAAATTAATTTAATTTTATTGTCCAATAAAATTTGTTTATTGTCCAAGAAAATAATATCTGATTCTTACTTTTGTATTAGAGATCAGGTTAAACGAGGTCATTGAAAGTGAAATTCTAGACTTTTAGGCTTTCGCTGAAAGTGAGAGTAAGAGTGAGAGTGAAAATCCTTCCACGATTACTGATCTAACATAACATTATACAGTTAACTAAAGTTCAAGGTCATTCTTCCTGAATTGGAGTTGCTTTTTTTAAACATAAATTTCAATTTGAAAAATTAAATAAATATTTGTTTATTAATAGGGAATTACTTATTAATTTAATATAAATATAATTTTTTCAAGTTTTTTCTTTAATTTTTTTTACTCAAAAATTTAATTGAATTATATCCAAATTTTGTTTATGATGCAAAAATATTTGGTTGATTCAAACAAAATAATTAACAAAAATTTGATTAACTGATACCTACTATAAATAAAAAATTTGTTTTTGTCTCTTAATCAAATTTAATTTAATTAATTTTAAAAAATAATTATTGAAAAAATTATTTATTGCTCTAAAATAAATTTAATATTATTTTAGAAGGCACTTTTTATTAATTTTACTGCAAAAATAAATTTAATTAATGGGAGGATAAAATATATTTCTGAATTGGAACGACAGGGAGATGTATTTATATCATTTCCAACAAATAATTTTATACAACTTAATGTGACTGTTATTAATCCTTATTTATTAGTAAGTAATTAAATTTTTTTTTACTAATTAATTATTATATAGAGCAAAATTTATCATGTATTTTCGTATCAAAAAAAAAAAAAATTTCAGAATCGAACTGATACTTTGCTATAAATTATAATCAAATGATTTTGATATAAAGGGACGGGTTGTCAAGATACAGGGGCTTAAAATTTTAAACCTCACTCAAAAAAAACTTCTATAAAAGTATATAAAAATTTTTTAATTTTTTTTTTTGTAAAAAAATTGAGAAAATTTGTTGAATTGAAAAAAAATTAAAATATGCAATTAAATATACTTTTTTTTTTTAACTTTTATAGTGTAGATTCAATTATGATTTTCTAACGACAGTATTTCCGTTTGTCTGGCACAGTGGAAAATTGTTTGCAGATGTGATAAATGTAACATCAAATTTACTTTTGACATTGGATTTAACAAAGCAATTTATTGATTTGGAAAAATTCACCATTTTAGATATTGAGTGAGCAACAAAATAATATTTATTTTGAGAATAAAAAAAATTAATTTAGTTGTTCAAATTACATTTAATTATTATTAATTACATTATTATTATTTTATTATTATTACATTATTATTATTATTATTATTATTATTTTTATAATTATTATTTATTACTTTATTCCCAAAATAACTTCTATTGAACCTATTTTTTTTAGATCTGTGCATGTTACACTTAACAATAATTTACCAATATTTGATGAGTTTGCATCAAAAATAGTAAATTATTTACTACCATTTTATAAGAAAAAAATAATTCAAGTTAGCGAGAAGACAGTGTCGAAAGAAATTTACATGCGCATAAAGGATATAAATGAAATATTTTTTTACAATTGACAAACATTTTATCTCCGTGAAAAAATATTCTTTTTTATATATAAAATTTTTTATTTTTTTTGTAAATAAAAAAAATTTTCACTTAGAAATTAAATATTTTGACACAAAACATTTTTTTGATATATTTGTGTGTGTGTATTTTTTTTTTATTGTTCCAATATTTAAATAAACTTTCTGATTTTGAATAATTAAAAATCTCATTGATTTTTTTTATAGAACAATGATTTCATTTTTTTAAATTTAAACGACTAAATTAATTTTGTGGTTTAAGAAAAAAAAAATTGTGTTTCACATAGCTAAAATACCATTAGTATGATTCATTCAATTTTTTTTTTTGGACTACATTTGTATATAATATACATAAATAATTTTTTTTAACCCGCTTTCTCTATCTGCTATTAAATCATAAAAGTGATAAGATAAAATGATCCAGAAATTTTTCAATAAATATCAAGATGATTGATTTCATGAATTTATATTTCATTTTAACTGTAAATTTATAATAAGAAACAAAATATGTTATTTGAAAGAGAAATAATGTATAATATTATTTTTGTTGTTTTAATTTTTTTCTGTGTCTGTAATGCCGAGGAAAGAAATAAAACAAATGGACTTTTTCATCTTCTCAGGTAAGTATTATCTCACACTTTCCATCTTAATTACCATTTAGTTTTTCACTTTGAGAACTATATATCAAAAAATGTTTCCGCAAAATTTTTTAATTTAGAAAATTAATTTTTTTTAAGTTACTTAATAAATTATTAATTATTAATTAGCTATATTTATTATTAATTACAAACTAGTATTATTAATTAAAAATTATTGATTAATTATCATTTATTAATTATACACTGAAAAAAAAATTTATTTGATTCAAATACCGGTGTATTTGGTTATTATCAAATAAATATTTACTTGAATCAAATATTTCTTATTTGAATCAAATAAATTTTTTTTTCAGTGTACTAAAAAAATTATATTGTATTTTATCTTATTTCTGTTAATATTTTTATTAATAGTAAATTTTTTTTTTTTAATGGTAATTTTTTATTATAGGAGAGTTGAAAGAAAAGTGATTGTCGAGGCAAACTTTAACAAATTAATAGATGAAAATTTGCCTAAAATTCGTGGCTCAATAATTGCAAGTGGCATGGATCCATTGGAAATGGATGATATGTTAATTCCAGTAACGGGTTTGGTAAGATTTTTTATTTTAAACATTTACTATTCAGTATTTAAATTTCAAATATTTAAAAAGCAAATATAAAAATTTTACTAAAATATACAAAAATATAAATATTATTATATATTATAATTTAATATTAAAAAAGTATTTAACTTCACTAATCAGAAAAAAATATGTAGAATAAAATGTAAGAAAAAAAAAATTATTTAAAAATATATACATTTAGCGAATTTGTATTCTAAGAAGAAGTTTTAATTGCTTTCGTTTTTTCATTCAAATAACGATTTATGTGATTATAAATTCTCTATTTCTTGCTCTATTAAAAAGTTAAATAACGTTTTTATTGTCTTTGGCGCACTAATTATTAAAGCTATCATTCAAGGCGACAGTTTTCGTTTACAGAAATACATAAAATAAATGAGACGGAGATTAAAATAAAAAACAATAAAAATAAAAAAAAAAAATAAATAATAATAATAAAAAAATAATAATAATAATAATAATAATAATAAAATAATAATAATTTTTTTAGATTCTTTTTTTTATATTTTATTTTATTTAAAGTAAACGTTACTATTTCAATTATTAAATGAACAAACTCTCGTATTGGAGTAAGTTTTTAGTCTAGTGGTTAAGCTGTCGACTTGCGAGCGTTAAGGTCGTGGGTTCGATTCCCGGCGCTGGGAGAATTTTCTCTTATTTATAAAAAATTTTTAATTTAAAGCTACAATAGATCGCAGCTACAATTGTATTGTAAATTACAATTGTTAAGAATAAAAAAAATATATATTAGTTTCAAGTACTTACAGTTGGTAGTGGTAATTTCAATTTTAATTCAAGTCATCGAGTATAATTTTCAAGTAATGATGATTCCAGTTTTTCCATCAGTATTTGTTTCTGTAAAAAAAATTGTAAATTAATAATTAATTTTAAATATAGAAACAATCGGTGACATATAGTTTCAAGTGAAAATATAAATGTAAAAAATATTTTTTTTGTCTATTTGTTTATGTATATATTATATTTTACTATATATTTTTTTAACCTATTTTATTTATTTTTCACACATCAGCCGGGAATTTTCAAAGGAAAAATGGCTTTAACCGACGGTTGGCTTCAACAATTGTCACACATTGAACGAATTGGAAATTCACGCATGTGTTATTCAGATAGGAAACTATCGATAGAAATGAATTTAGGATGGCAAAATTTGTCGGTAAGGAATATATATATATATGCTCTTTTAAATATTTCTTATTTTTCAATTATTATTACATTTTCTCTTCCACATATCATAGTTCGATTATCGATATCTCTTTGAGTATTTGTTATACAAAAGAAAAGGAAATATTCATGGAGTTGTGACCCAGGCAGATATCTATTTTAAAATGATTGTGGACTTTGAAACAACACAAATTATATTAGAAAAAGTGAAATTCAAAAATTCTGGGTAAAAATTTACTTTTTATTTATTAATATAATTTTATTAAAAATTTCAACAAAAAAAAAATATGATATCAAAATTTTATCGTATAATTATATAAATGTTTCGTGATATATGAATAGTATTTTTAATTTAGATTGAGATTATATCATGCATCCAAAGTACAAATTTTATAAATGTGAAAAATTCTTTTTATATATATCTTTCTATATATTTTCCAGTAAATACGACTTGCAATTTGAAGGACATATTACAGATACAATTCTCAATACTGTGGTTAAGGTTGTAACGAATTTTTCAAAAGATTTTATCACACGGAAATTGCAAAAAATTTTTCACACTATTGCCGAATTAGAAATTAAGGAATTAAATAAAAATCTTAAAGAAATCCTTGGAAGTTATAATAATTTTTGATTATAAAATTATATATAATGTATTATATATTAAAATAAAAAATCAAATTATTGTGATATTTCTTATATACTATATATTCGAATGTGATATTATTTTCCCTATAAGAATTAAATATGAATGGAATATTTGGAGAGAAATGATGTATAGTGTGTAATTAATGCAAAATACTGTTAAATGCAGATTTATCCAGGTGGGAATGGTGATTACACATGCTGTGTAGATATTGGTCAGTGTTTAGAGGAATTGATTTGGTTCACATCAACCTTCGAATATGATGTATATGCACATATATATATATAATAATATATCCGAGTGTGAGTTTAACATACAACTAAATATAGTGTTCCGCATTTGTCACCTGCTTTGATCACTCATGCGACGAAACATTCAGGTCACGTTTGGAACATAATTGTCAATTGCATATAATAACTTCATTTCCTCAACTCATCTTATCCTCCCCTCTATTCTATTTTACATCTATCCGCAACTACTCAAGTGGTCTATTTCCGAAATCTAATATCACTTTCATTACGTGCACAAGATTCTCCAATAATTCACCATGTCCAATTTCCACCCTAAACAATTGATCTTCATCATTTAGATATACATAATATTGTGTTCGATATGCGGTGGGACAGAGAACAAAATATTAAACTTTTTTTTATTTGCCTTTTATGAATCTTTCAAGGACCTATATTTTTGTCAAATTTTGAAACTGTTTTAAATTCCTAAAGTTGTTATAATTGTCAATTATAGTTTTTTTTTTAATAAACAAATGTTACTAGCGAAAAATCAACAAATGTTTTAAAGTGTGTATTAATTATTTTATTTATTTATTTGAGAAATGCAGTGGAGAAAATGAAAAAGCATATAATATGTATATAACAGAAGTAGATTGTGTTTACTGCGAAAGAGGAGGTGAGGTCATGTTGATTAAAGGAAAATATTAACTAAAGACTTTCCTTGCCTTCCGGCTCGTGTAAATATAAATCTGTAATTTAGCAGTAGTATAATGAAGTTAGTATCACACTAAGTTACATATTATAGAATAGTGAGATACTCGAAAACTTTGTTTTAGTTTATTCTCTTTCACCCTTTGTCCGTAAATATAACTTTTATATGCAAACCAAGATTCAAATATAAACCATGTAACATCATCTTTTTCACTGATCCATTTTATTTTTATTTAAAAAAAAAAGAAAAAAATTGTTATACGAATCAAAATAAATATATTTAAATGTCTATTATATCTGTTAAATGAATGAATATAATATTCGAAAAATAAATATTTTTCTAGATTAATAATAAAAACTAAATTTTCATTAATTAAACGATGAAGATTTGCGTTCTCTGACTAATTTACTAAAGGCAATGCTCCTTAATAAGAGACCCTTTCTAATTAGAAATCTTAAACTTCTCTAGTAATTAAAGTGAATATATTTTTGAGACTATTTTCCACGAGATAATTTAAATCATAATTCAACTAAGTAATAATTATAATTTTTATTAATCAATCAATTCCGCTTGTTTAGGACAATAAATCCCATTACGTAAATAAAGTCAATTTTTTTTAAAAATATTTTAGAAAATATTTTAGAATAATTTTGCAAAATAATCAAAAATGACAAAATAAATTAAAAAATTAATGAAATGAGCATTTAATAAAAGAAAATGTTTTTTTATAAATACACAGAAAATTAAAAGGTATTAAAATAAGCTGCAACGCTTATTATTTTAATCCAATTTTGCTTATTTTAATACCAAAATAGATTAAAATAAGCAAAATTGGATTAAAATAATAAGCGTTGCAGCTTATTTTAAGGCCTTTTATAATAGAAAAAAAATATAAATAAAACATTTTTACAAATTCAGATATAGAATATAATTTTTATATTAATTAAAAGAGAAAGTATATACCGAGCTCGCGTTTTTTATATTTAAAAAGCAAATAAAAATGAAAAATTTTCTACCCTTGAACCCCCATTCAATTACGATTGCAAATGAAAGGCACTTATTGAGCAAATGTAAATTCTATTCCAGTCTTCTCGGTAGTAGTATATATATATACCACTTATAAGATATTTGGATTTTCGAAACGTTCCGGACAGGTTAAGCTAAGATTTAAATTAATTAAAAGCTTTGTTCAATGTTCTTGTTAACATGCGCCTGTTAAATTATTCAGAATTGTTTAACAATTTTTAGAGAAGAATAATTTTTTTTTTAACTGCAAAAATAAAAATTGCTAAAACATAATTTTATATATATATATAATTTATAATTTACAATAATAATAATAATAATAATAATAATAAATAAATTTATTTTTTAATTATAAAAAATAAATAAATAAAAACTCTAAATAAACCGACTTTGTTTTGCATTTAATTCTTGTGTAATTAATATTAACAAATAATTGTTAACAAAAAATGTTAGCAATTATTTGTTAATAATAATTGTTTAATGAATATATAAGTAAAGACACTAAAGAAATTTCTATTGCAATAAATGTTTATACTTATATTTTTTTGAAAAAAAGACAGTTTTAAAAAGAGAAAACATTTTAAGTCTTTGTAAGTACAGGATCAGTAGTATGAGTCTATTTTAGTCAGACAAGACGGACCGAATAAGCAATAGGATAAAGGTGGGCAGAATAATAAGGTTTTTTTTCCCCTATTTTTTATAACAATACAAAAAGTGTATTTTATTCAAAAAAAATTTTTTTTTTTATTTTTCTGATTATTTTTGTAATATTACTTCAATATTACATGTAATATTACATAAATATTACAGTGTATTATCAAATACACGCATATAGAAAAAATTTGCTGTGGCAGCGAATTATTTGCTGTGACATCAAATTACGTTAGCTAATATAGGGACAGCGAATAAATTTGCTGTGGGATCAAAAAAGTTTGCTGTGGCAGCGAATTATTTGCTGTCACATCAAATTACGTTAGCTAATATAGGGACAGCGAATAAATTTGCTGTGGGATCAAAAAAGTTTGCTGTGACAGTAAATTTTTAAAAATTAAGACTGATATTGTTTATTATAGCACATTTTTTTGTTGTTATAGTAAAAAATTTAGCTGTGGTTACTAATTTTGATAGATCTGATAGCAAACATAGCATCTGTAAGAAATTCCTTTTTTTCTGTGTAAATATAATAATTTTTATTTGAATAAATAATTTCTGTATTTGAAATAAATATATCATCTCAAATAATAAATTATTTGATACAAATAAATATTTATTTGATATAAGTAACCGATTATTTGAATCAAATAAATTTTTTTTCAGTGTGAAATAAATTTAGAAAGTAACTTTTTTTTTGAAGTTAAAAGGCGCGCTTTTTTTCAAATCTTTCGAACTATGCAGTTAGTGTCAACATACATGCATAGATAGTACTTGTAAGAAGAGAAAGAGAAATGAAAAGAGAGTTTGCTGGAAGATAAGGGGTGCATATTACGCATAGAACACAGAAGCAGAAGAGGTCGGCGGTTTGGAAGGGGGAGGGGGGGAGTTAGGGCATTCGTTTATGGGGGGGTTGGGTTTGTGTGGGGATCGCCTCCCGGGACACCTACTGCGCATTCCTTGCAATCAGCGCACATCGCGAATACGTCTGCGGGATTCAGTTCGATACCGGACGCTACAAGAGATGCGTCACTTCCGGTGCCGCTTTTCTCACGTCGCGAATTTCCGCTAAATCTCGCGGGAAAGACAGAGAAAGAGAGGTGAGAGAAAGATAATATGAAAGAGCAATCTTTCGCTACACCTGCGCGAGAATGATACCAAAACGCTCCTCAACGCGTGTGTTACCAACGTGAGGGGACATTTTCAAATTTAACACGTTGCATTTCAACCGGAACAAAAAAAAAATTGGTTTGTAAATTTATTTCTCATTTCGTTATTTTTGTTTTTTGTCGTATTCATTTTTTTTTTGACTTATCACTTTTTCAAGTTTAGTAATTGTTTAAAAAGATTTTAAATAATTGAAATAAATTTTTCAAATTTATTTTAAAATAAATATTAAATAATTTAGATTTTAAAAAATATAAAGAAATTTTCAAAAATATATTTTAAATAAATCTTTAAATTGGCTTTAAATAAATTTTAAATCAGATTTCAAAAGATGTTTAAAATAAATTTTAAATAAATTTAAAAATATTTTATCAAAGGAATAAATTTCAATTTAAAATGACGTCAGTCTGTTAAAGAAAAACGGTGAAAAAAAAATTATAAAGGGTGAAAAAATATCAGTATTGAAAAAATGTTGATGTAAAAAAAAAAAAAAAAAAAAAAAAAGATAATTATAAACTGGTACAGTCATGTTTACTTGATTTATTCTGGTAAACTTTACTGAATATCCTATATGTTATTCTTATTTATATACATAAATAATTTCACTGCATTTTACAAAACTTTCTCTGTTACATTAAACTTTAAAGTTAAAAAAAAGCTATTAAAGTTTTGTGCGCGAAAATTTACATGCGCCGAATAAGAAAATAATAACCTACATTATTTTTATATTAAGATTAAAGAAAAAGGTTGGTAAAATTTTCATTAAAAAAATTTTTTTAAACTATTATATAGATTAAATTTATTAATCATAAAAATTTAGATATAAAATTAATTTTAATTATAAAAAAAAGGAAAAAATATTTTTTAAATATTCGCGAGAAATAATTGTTTATTTATATTATTATAGTTTGTAGTAAGTTTTGTAATAGTTTAATATTCTTGTCAACAATTTTAAAGTTTATAGAACTTAAACTAATACAACAGAAAAGTAAAGTTAAACATTACTTATAAGTTCATAAGTTTTGTTTTTCTTTTTGTTGCCTAAATTAAGTCAATATTATTTAGTCAGGAAATTACAATGTACTGTATTTTGATTAATCTTTATCTTTACATAAAAAAAAAATTTTAATTATATCATTTATTATATTTTATATGATGAAAATATTATTATTATTATTATTATTAATATTATTATCGTAATAATTATTATTACTTTAAATTAATTAGTACATTACTAATTCGTCAGAAATAACAATTTTTATGATATATTGGTTTTTATATTAATTAAAACTTTTTATGTTTCATATGGTTATGAGTTGAGCTTACTTGCGTACTCATAAACTTATTTTTTTAAAGTACTAATTAAATTATCTATAACCAAGTTGAAGTTATTGCCCATTTCAAAGTTTACACGCTTTGGATATATACGAGATAACTTGTGAAAAATTCAAATATCAGTTTTCTGTTACAAAATTTAGAATATGTAAAAAAATTATAATAGGATACTTAATATAAAAATTCTAAATCTAAGAATATGAAAAAAAGAAGATTCAATAAAAAAAATTAAATTAAAAAAATTCTAAAGACCATATAAAATGAAAGCAAAGCAAAAAATTTTCAATTTTCAATATCCATTTATCCAACGATACTGAAGTCCATAACGTTTATGATCCAACACGATTAGAAAACAAATTTTCTTTTTTTAAGACGGAAAATTATAAAAAAATTTTTGTTTAATAATTTTGTTGATCAATAAACAATAAAAAAATATTTTTCGAAACATTATTTGCAACTTTGTTCATTTAATATTTACTTATGATTATTTATTTATTTTAAAAATATCTCTTTCCCCTTCAAGCGAAAAAAAAAATTGTTTGAAAAAAGTAACAAAAAATGTTCTCTTAAACTTATTTAGAAAATGTAATTTAAAAAATTGTATTTTTGAAAGGCCGCACACCCGCAACGAATAAAAATAAGATTCTCTATTACTATAAAAATGCCAAATTCTTGACATTGTAAGTGGACAAAAGACCATATAGACTTTGATATTATATGTACATTATATATATATAAAATGTAGGGAAAGGACGAAAACCACAATAGATTATTTTTGGATATAACTCTCAAATCAAAATTCTGACTTTACCTACATTTTTCCGAGTGACAAATTTTACAAAATGGAGAAGCTGTTTTGTATTTTTTTTTTTTTATATTAAATAAATAATTACTGCTTTGTTTTCACATAAAGAAAATATAAACTTTTTCCTTTTCTTATTTTTAAATTAAAACGTAAATCATAAAATTTGATATAACTTGACAGCGTATGATATTTCTCGTTAGATTGATCCAACTTTATTACGTGTTTATGAGAGTTCCACGAAAAACTTGTTACAAGCCGGTGAAACTTTATGGGGAAAAATACAGAAAGCTCTTCAAAAATTGCTTAAAGTTTGTAACAAAAAACTTTTGTTTTCTTTCTATAATATTATATATATATAATTTGATACTTCAAAACATAACCTATATTTTATTCCAAGACTCCTTTCTTCAAAGCGCGTTAAATATAAATATAATTTATCATGGAAAAAATGTAAAAACTTATTGGAATTTATTAAAAATAACTAAAATTATTATTAATAGATATTATTATTTAAAGAATGAAGAATAATAAATGAAGTATTTCAAAAGTTCACTTGTCAAGTTATAACCTAACTTTACGATTTCTATCCGCATTTATTATGAGGAAAGTAGAATCATTAAACGAAATAAAACCTTACCAAATATTAAAGTACTTGTCGATGAACTTTTATATTTTCATTGCACATTTTCTTTTCTTTCTTTATGATAAGTATAAAAACGATAAAAACTTTTGATTATAAAATTGACACTTTGCTGATATTCGTAATTTTTGAACTGTAGTAACATTTTTGAAGGAACATTAAATTATATATTACACTTGGAGAATATTTAAATTATCAGTAAAAATAAACGCACTCCAATAAATTTTCACATTATTCCCAAAAGGTACTCTTTAAAATAATAAACACTTATAAAAATTTTTCACCTTATTAGGTTAAGAGTACAGTCACGTGAAACAGATTAGAGAATTAGGAGAATAGACTTTAACCAATGAAAATTTAATATCTCGCGGAGGAAGATGTAACTTTACCGTAATACAGTGCATTTTGATTGATCGATGTCTGCTAATACACTAATCAGGTTTCTTTGATTGCACCCTTAATACAGGTGTTACTAATTGAATTAGGGACAACGCACAATGACATTATAAAACTTTGAAGTGAGTTAGAAAAGGACAGATATTCGTTTCCTTTTTTATTTTGTTCGCGAAAATATATTTACTATTAATTTAGATATTGTCTACAAGATTGTTATTACAATTAATAAAAAACTAGCAAAATTACACGCGCGCAAGCGCGCGTCCAACTTTAATTGCAATGGTTATTTTAAAATAATAATAATATTAATAATAATAATAATAATAATAATAATAATTCTGCATCAATGGAGTAATAAATTAATAATAGGTATATTTCTAATTTTCACGTTATCATTTATTTATACACAGAAAAAAATGAGTTTGATGTTATATAAATAAATAAATTTAAGTAAAAATTTTAAAATATAAATATTAAAATTTTAGAAATAAATATTTTTGATAAAGTCAATGTTCGATGAATTTTTTATAATCTTTCAAATTACAAAAAATTAGTTATGCTAAATATTTTTTTGTATTTTCTATAAATATTTCGTTGCAAATGAAAATTTTAAAATGTTTTTTTTTCAAAAAATTTAATTAACTGATAATTAATAAATATTAAAAAATTATGTAATCAAAAAGAAATTTAAATTAACAGAAAATTATTAATTATATTTTAAAAAGTATTAAGCAATTAAAAAATATTTAAAAATTTTGAAAAAATAAAACCTAAAAAAATTTTGTAATGTTTTAAACTTTAAACTTAAATTAAAAATTAAAATCAAATTGAAAATTTTTTAAAAAAGAAAACTATTTTTATATTGTTTATAGATAAAAAAATATAACAATTTAATAATTAATAATAAAAACAAATTAATAATAATAAATTTATGAATAATAATTTATAATAAATAATAATGAATAATGAAAAAATAATGAAAGATAAATAATAATTATAAGTTAAAATGTTCTAATTATCTGTAATAATAATCATTATATTTAAAAAAATGTATATATAATATAATAAATTTATAAATAATAATAAAAATTATATTATAATTGAAACTTTTTTTTCTATAAATACCAAGTAGGAAATATACTGGTGCTGCACACAATGAACAATATTTTTTTTTACTTTAAACTGTCACTTACAACATATGACTTAATTAATGACGATGAATAAAAATATCCGTCGTGTTAACCATAAAATATTACGAAATCAAGAATTGTCAAAATTTTAGGAAAACAAAAGGAACAAAATACGACTAACTTCAAGTGTGGACAGACGGAATGAATGAATGAATACGGAAATTATTATAGTTAATTTTTGAGGTTGTGGCCACTTAGGAATAGTAATATTAAAAAAGAAATCCCTAATTTAAAAAACTTAATGCAAATTATTTTAACTTTTAACAATTACAATTAATGATATTAATTGCATTAACATCACATTACGATGTAAATAATAATTAGTTTATTCATATTTTATACCTGGGTCGAAATGTTCTTGATGTTTAAAAGAAATTCTTTTTTCTTCTGTCCTTGAATTATCCTCTTCTTCACTGCAAAAAAGTGGGGGAAAACAATGTTGGCTACATCAAAAATTATTTGCAAAAATTTGTTGAAGCGACATAGATGTTGCGTTGAAGACATCCAAGATAGAACTGTGCGTGCGCTGTGGGGAAATTTTATTTTATAGTTCGAGCTAAGTCTGCCGCTTGGTCTGTCGTGCGCTGATTGGACCGGGCATTCACTGCCGGTAGCGCTGATTGGCTGGCGCTCTTGATGCCAACCCAAGTCTATAAATATAGGTCGTTTTTCTCCCACTACTTCAGTGGGCAGTAGACTCTTCACGACGCACCATCTGTGCTGCTTAAAAAAATACTTTTTTTTAGTTTTTATTCATTATGAGGGTTAACAACTATTTCCAGTGTTGATGAAAGTACAATTATAAATATATTTATATTTTTTCTATACATCACTACAAAAAGAATTATATGTAAAATTTTTAATTCTTCAAAGTTATATAAAACAAAAGTATTGTGATATCAAGTGGATTGATTTTATATTAAAGGATCATAAATCGAAGAAAAAAGGAATTTGTGGTTCGTATTAACCTTATTTATATTATTTAAATAAATATATACTTTTTTCAAATTAGGGAATAGTACAGACGGTACAGACATTAACTGATATCCCCATAACAGTGTCGCCATCTAGTTAGTAAATTTGGTATAGTATAGTAGCTTTTCAGTACAATTTTTGTTTCTGAATATAAACACCCCTAACCTCAAAGTTTCTGTCAATTTCAAACCTTATTGAAACTCCCGTTTTAATATCAACACACTATTGAATGAAAATGCTATTCTTTTGTGGGTCAAACCATTAACAGAAAGAGGATATGTGTCCTTACGCTGAGTCATTTATGTCGATATGATATTATATATATGACAGACAACACAAAGATAACACCAATGTGCTCGAATATTGGCTCATAATATCGTTAATGTTGATGGAGAGGGTAATATAAGAAAGGATATTATATGTATCAAGGTATTTCAAAGAGTGTGAAAATTCTGATTGATCATCTCTTGCCTTTTTATATATATACATATTCTATAGAAAGAGGGATAAGAATAAAAGTCAAAAAAAAGGAAGGGGCAGGACTAGGAGTGAACAAAATTTTCTTTAATTAATTCTATTATCTGTCAATCTTCAGTATATTTAATTTTCTCACTATATAATAATAATAATAATACAAAGAGGTTAGTGTGTGATTAATTTTATAAATTTATTATTTATATTACTATTATTTGTTATATATATAATTAATTATAAATAGTAATTTATATCAAAAAGAAATAGAAAGTAGTATATAATACGTGAATAATGATAAAAATGATGGATTGTGAATTTAAAGAGATCGCGTTGCATCGTGTCGGAAACGATTCACAGTTTCCGTCTTTTACGAACGATATTCATGAAACTTGCGGAAGTAGGTATATATATATGTATATAAAAGTACGAGAATCATCTCGGAACGTAGTCTTTCAAATAAAGTGAGCACTTTTAGTTCATGGCGTATTTAAATTCTCAGCAAGAGTTTTAGTGTCGTATATATATATATGAGTTCGTTCACGTTCGACCGATAACAGCGTCATATCAAATTTCAACCTTTTTTTTTTTTTGTTACCAAAAAAAAAGAAGTTTCTTTTTCTCCCTTCGATGTTTTAAATATTTATAAACTTGTTGAACTTTAAGAGCATTATTTCATTGATTTGATAAAAAATTCACGTTAAAACAATTTTCCAGCTGTTACCATGTTGAACTTTTTTAGAATCTAAAAATATATTATATCGATTTAAATTTTTCGAAATTTATCAAAATATTTGAAATAAAAAATATTAATAATTAGTAATTTAAAAATACAAAATATTTTAAAATAAGTTTCTATTAGCAAATTTTAATTAATTATTATTTTATCATTCGATTGATATTTTATTTTGCTTATTATTTATTATTATTATTGTTATACAATTTACCTAATTTATTATTGTTAACAAATATTTAAATATAATTTTTATATTTGCAATTAAAAAAAATATATATGCAAAGCAAAATAAATTTATCAAGAAAAATAGGTAAAGTTTAAATTAAATTAAAATTACATTCATCAAGTGAATTTCATATTTAGCACATATTTTTAATTACTGGCGCTCGCAATACTTTGAGGATTCTGACGGGAAATAAACTTTGAGAAAGTAGTTGAAACTTTTTTGATTAAAAGTACTATATTGAGGCAAAAAAAAAAAGAAGTCAAGTTTAAATGGAATTAGATTTAGAGAAGGCACTGCTTTCTTGATTCACTTTAAGAGCCAATACACGTAAATCGAGCAGATTATACACGTCTTGCATACAATTTTCAGCTGCACAACTTATTGCAAAATATATAACATCAGAGCTTAACATTTCGTAACGATTTCAATTTATTTCATTTGATGAAAAGTTTACAAATTATTTGATTTCTTACACGGAGAGAAATCTGCTGCGATTTGCGCATGAGCATGTCCATAGGAATATAGCATGGACACTTCCAAGCAAAAACCATAAGATTCCATCTGAATATCAGATGAGACTCATACAATAATACCTCGCTCACTTAGGATTTTTGCTTGAAAGCGTCTGTTACTATATTCCTAAGGACATGCTCATGCGTAAATCGCACCAGATTTCTCTCCGTGTATCTGTTAGAATAAATTTCATATATTATCTCATGCGAAATACTTGAATGCATTTTTTAATTTGCATACTAAAAAAAAAAATTTTTATTTATGCAAATAAATATTAAAAATAGAAAAAGGTAATTTAAAATATAAAATAATACAAAATAATTGTAATAATTAAAAATTCAAAAATTTTTTTGTTTAAAAAAAATAATTTTTGAAGTGTAAAAACGTAGATTACATCTATTTACGTAAAATTACAGTTTAATTATAAATTCAATATTTTTAATTTAAAAGTTTTTAAAATTGCATTCCTTTGATATAATATTTTTTTTTTATAATTGGATTTGTAATTGGATTTGTAATTTCGTTAATACTGTTGAAAATTTTGTCAAAAAGTTCGTTATTATAACAACTTTCTGAAATAAAATATGAATTGCAATTAAGTAGATACGGGGCTCATTGAAACAAGTTTTGGATTGAGTTTTAATACTTGTTGAAAATGGATTTAATTGAATCATCGATTTTCTGATTTCTTTTATTATAAAACGACAAAAGAAAATAAATTAACTTTATTATTAATTAAAAATTGCTAATAGAAACTTATTTTTAAATATTTTGTACTTTTCCTAATTACTATTTTTTGTTTCAAATATTATTTTAATAAACGAAAAATTTTGAATGAGCTTTTTAATTTCTAAATTATTAAAAAAAATTATTCAACTTAAAATCTATAAATAAATATTTATTTGTTACAAGTAAATATTATTTGGGTTTAAATAAATTTTATTTAATTTAATAAAAAATATTTTTTTACTCAGGCAAAATTTGATTAGATTATCGAAACGATTTTTTTGTTGTCAGCATCTATAAATCTTATATTTTTCTCGTGCGCGCACTTTTAGTGAATATTAAATGAAGAAGAAATCAGAGGTAATGGAAACTTTTAAAGGAGTATTTTTTTTATGTTACTAATTAAAAAAAAAAGCTCTTTAACTTTTCTACAAGGTAAATAGTATTTTATCTTCTTAACTGGTGAGTTTTTACGATTTTCCAAGGTAGATTGACTCGTAAACTGTACTTTTTAAAAGTAACTAAAAGAATTGAGAGAAATTGAGAGGAGTAAAACATTTTCTTCCTTTATATAGCAATTATTTGCCCTTTAATTCTTTTCTATTTCATTTTAATGATGTAAAGATTTAAAAATTATTTCCTCGCTGTTATATATACTTAGTAATAGTATAATATTGTAAGATGGATGGTAATTAGGTCATATATGAAATCACATATAGGGCATAAAAATTGATTTCATGGGTCACTAAAGTAGGCATATAGGTATAGGGGGTGTAATATTATTATCCCTTATACAGAATATTAGTCTACTTTTATGGCTCTTAAAATACATGTATTTAAAAGTAGATTATATTTAATATTCAGTATTATTTAGTAATTTTTAAATAAAATTAATTATTGATTCAAATAATAATTAATTATTAATTAATAGAAAATAATAATTAATTTCAGAAATTTTTTAATTTAGCGCTATTATTTATTTATATTATTTTAATCGCGGTCTGACAGACCGTGAAAGCACTAGACGTAACTTTTTAGCTTCTAGCAGTTTAAATAAAAATAATTATTTTAAAGAGAATTATATATGGAATTTTCTTCTCTTTTTTTTATATATATATATATATATTTGATAAATGACTCTTGAGGAGCATCAACTTGATATTTCACCCCCTCGTAAATGGGTTTACTTTAAGTACAGCGCGCGCCTTTTTTGGAAAAATTTCCCATCAACACTCATCGTATATATACCATTTTTACTCGACTATACCGAGTTTGTTGAACGAATAAAATGAATATCTCAAAAGATGTAAAAATCTCTGTTATACGACCGTGTACGAGGGATGAGTGCGAGAGTCAGAAAGTAGTAGTAAAAATAATGAAAATGTACTTTTCTTGAAAAAATTCAGACGATATCTTTCAACGTGGATAATATTTATATACTATATATATATATTCAAGTCACAAACTTGAAAACGTTTATACGATGTTGTTTGGCTGAATGCCGACGGGAGGAAACTAATATATTTATCATTTGATCACGTGTGTAGAAAAATTTACTTTTCGATTATTTTCAAGATTCTTCTCTTTAAAAAAAAAAATATATTTATCATCTACAAGGTGGCTATATATAAATTAGAAATCATAAACTAATTAACTTGTAATAAATTGTACCAACTTGTAATTATCACCTCATACAAACAGCTAGTACATAGCTTAATTACTCTATGATGTATAATATTAACTATATATAATCATATATATAGCTCATATTGTGCAAGTCATTATGTCATTAGTTTAATTAATATAGTTTATTAATTTATCGACCAATTTTCTTCTACTTAATGATTCCTTTCAAAATATATATAATTTCACATTAATGATGATGCATTTGATAATTTGTGATTTGATATATAAATAGGTATTAGTTTCAATTTAATTTAATTGTAATTAATGATTTAATCTATAATCTTATCTCGTGTAGAAATAATTAATTTTTTTTAAATTAAAATAATATTTAATTAAACCATGTTTAAATTATATTAATAATTAATAATTTTAATTTAAATTACTAAAAAAAAATTTGTTAATTATTTTACTTTACTTTCAGGTGTGAATTTTTCAATATATCGAAAACTGGTCAGGGCCCCTAGCAGTTTGCTGAGTAAGTACTTACATTTACAATAAAAATCCTTTGGAACATTAAAGAAAACACAGGTAAGATCATTTTAGCGTTTAAGTGATTGAATTTTAGTTAGTCGCGCGAAAGTTATTCAATTATTATTCAATTATTATTTAATAATTTTTTTAGTTGTAAAATTATAAAAAAATCTTCTGAAAGAGATTTATTCCTCTCATTTTCCTTGACATTTTAAAAAAAAGTAGACCTCAATCCGTCTATTAGAACGGAAGATATAGCAGTTTTAAATTTTTTGTTGTTATTGCAAATCTCGTAAACTAACAAATATTTTAGGCTGAAATTTACGTTAAAGATTAGTCTTACTATATATAACAAAATTCCAAAGTTTCATTGCAATCGGTTAACCTACTCCGAAAAAGTCAAAATCTCACTTGGAATCGCACATAATTTAATTATTTTATTTATTATTTGAATCAGTAAAAATTATTTAAATCCGCTGTTTTTAAAATAAATCGTACCGACAGTCAAATAAACATTTAATATAAGAAATAAATGTTTATTTGAAACGAATAAAATTTATTTAAACAAAAAAAGTATTTATTTGAACAATTTATATAAACAAATAAAAATTATTTGAAAGAAATATTTTTTTTAGCTCTGAGACAAATTTTTATTTTTTCTTCGGGTATACAACTATTAAGTAGTAAAAATTAAAAACTTTGTTTTTATTGTGTGGCAACACAATTATTGACCGTTATGTAATTTTATTGCTGTTTTACACACTAGTAACATCGTTTTATAACTGTTTTTACAGAAAAAAAAAACGAAAATTGTGTAAAAAGAAAGTTTGCTTTTATTTAAGAATTTAATTTTTTTATTTAATTCTTATATTATTAATAATAATTATTAATAATATATTTATTTAATTACCAAAAAGTTAAATTTTTTTTTTAAAGTTTCAACGAATTTTTAAAATTTGTAAAAAAAAATGAAAGTTTTATTGGAGAAAACTTTGTTTTTATTCCCTTAATCGTAAAAAAAATTTTTCCTATACTATATATATATATATATGAGAGCAATAGAATGAAACTTTTTTTTTTATAAAAAAAAAAACTATAATCCGTGGTCCTGAAAGTTCAAAGCTTTATAGAGAGCAAAAATTTGATAACTCTTGACCTATATATTTTTTTTCCAAAAATTTTATCTCCCTTGTACATAGAAAAAATATCTCTAATCTTTTAATTCAACGAGAATATTTTGATAATATTGGTATATATATTCACTAAATTTAGGAATTACATAAAAATATTTTCAAATATTATACAATGCGTAGAATTTACTCTTAATTTGAAAAAAAAAATTTCTTTTGTTACAGTCTTTGAAAAATATTATTTTTTCTTTGAATGAATTTGAGAAAAAAAGAATAAATTCTTCTTAAAATATGTCTCTGAAGATATATTTCAAAAGCAGTTTTAATGTTATTCTAGGTAAAACTAATTTTGTCATTGATTTTCTAGTTTCAAATAAAATACTATCGACTTATTACTTAACTTCACTACTGCCTCTTGAAAATTGAATTTTCTCAAAATTAGCTCGTAATTTTATTATTCTGTAATTCAGTTTTGTGCATTACAATTCTAGTTACAGTTACTTAATTGTCGTTTAGAATTGAATTATCGAATAATTGTATTCTGAGTAAGTAATTCTCATAATTGCTTCCTTGAATCTAATGAATCTTTCACTTTTTTTTTTTTTTTAAATTAAATTTTTATAAATTTCCTATTTTTAATTTCTATAAAAATTTTATTATTTATAAATAAAACAAAAATATCTTTTCTTGTCAATTCGAATAATGAAAAAATAATATTTTTTTTTAAAGAATCCTCTTATTTTGAGTATTTTTTCAAAATATTTTTCTTTTATTAAACTTTTAATGATAGGTTTTAATTAAAATAACAATTATATAATAAAAGATCAACAATAAAAAATTCTCTAATTTCTAGAAATATAATATCTGAAATAATTTTTGAATATTACAACTAAAAAGTAATTTTTATTAATCAAATTTCCTCTCTAATTGAGTTTATATTCTCATTTTGAGAAGAAAATTTAATTTAGATTCAAAAGGAAAATATTCTATTAAAAAAGGGGTAATTTATAAAAATTTATTTTCTCGTAAATTTTTATAATCTTTATATCTTTTTTTTCATCATTTGTACATTTTCAAATTAGTACGCGCAGAGATTAATGGACCAGAATAAAAAGTTATTTAGTCTATGGTAATTTACTCTTACATATATATAACATTAATTGTCCTAGTGGGAAATATATATTTCTCTAGGGACTTTTATTACGAATTTTTTTTTTTTCATCGTTAAGTACAATTTTATTGATTCGATATATCTATAGAAAATGAAGCGAACCGCAAAAGCGAAGCTACTCTCGATATATGCGAACTAAAGTAGCGCGTAAAATTACCCTAATATCACAATAATAATTAATGTTGGAATATATATGGTAATATTATTACTGTAATATTACAGTAATATTACTGTAACTTTACCCCGTAATACGAATCTTCTACGTAATATTTTTGTGATATTAAAGTAATATCTGCTACTTAGATAAAATGGATTAAATGAAATTTTTTTAAAGGTGCAAAAATTGTTAGAAAAAAAAAATGCATTACATCGTATTTGATATTATATATATGAGAAAAACCACTTACGTTAATATTTTAAATAAATGAACTATTTACTTAATATAAAAAAGAATGAAAAAATTGCTTGATTCATTGATAAAAATGTTGTACAAATAAAATTATTTTATTTGTTCAAATTTTATCACCCCTCACATTCAAAAAGTAAAAACATGCTTGAGATATTTGGCTTTTAACAAAATTAACCTTTTCTTATTATACTCTATATAGAAAAAATTTTTCCCACCAAATATAGAATTTGTATTAAATTATTATATTTGTCTCGAAGCTAAATGATTTATTTGTTTCAAATAATTTTCTTTTTGTTTATTAAATAAATTAAAATGAAAAAATAATTAAAAATCAGATTCTTTTAATTTGAAATTTCTTTTCTTTTTGAGATTGAAAATATTAAGATCTTAAAAGTTATATAATATCGATTTCGCATTTAAGCCCTCGAACAGTTTTGGGAGACTTGTAATTTTGGGACGTTATACAGTAAATCTAAGACCACGTGTTCAAACTGGTCTTAAATTCTAGAGTCGTGAACTAACTTTGATAACAGGGAGGGTGGGATATACAATGGCATAAGTTATGGCTATGGCATGGATGCAGTAATAGGATAAATCAATGCGGAAAAGAATCTGATGGAATTTTGTCTTTATTGTGTATATAAAAAGATGAAAAAGAGATAAATTTATTTCCTTAAAATGAGAATTTTTTTTTATTTTCTTTTAAAAAATAGCAAATTTTTATTTAGATGAAAATTATTATTTTATTATTATTTATTATTATTTTTTTTTTGTCTAATTCTTTATCCAAATCAGATTATCATTTCGATTAATCAATTATTTTTTAATAAATTTTTCTATTTTTCTAGTAAAACAAAAATTATTAGTTACTTTATAATTCATTATTCATTTTGGCTAGAATATTACTCTTCTTTTTTTCACCCCCTCCCCCACAAAATGAGAATATAAATTGCTCATCATTTTTTTTTGGGGGGGGGAGTCTAACGTTTCTTCTTCTCTCACATTTTCCCCCACTCCACAACCAAAATTATAATCTACAAAGTAATTTTTGCATATTTGAAAAACGGTCACTAATTCGAAATTCCAGAATACGAGAACATTATTCATTGTGCATAATAGTGAAAAATAAACGTTGCGAAGAAAATATACATTGTCTACTATCTATATATTCCATTTTACTCGCGAAAAAGAAATTGCGTTTTTATAAGTTAATTGCTCAACTTTTAAAGTGCACTTCGTTTTATGTTCCATAAAGCACTTGTGAAGTTTCATTTTTTTTTTCATTTAAATATATATATATATATATATAGTTACATATAATCATAAAACATTTGTCATTGAATAAATTTTTGTTTAAATTCAATATATATTATTGCATCAATTTTATTTCGAATTATTATTAGGCTTATTTATATAAATCAATTTTATTAAAGAAATTTCTCTTTGTTAATTAATTTTAAAAAGGAAATGGGAAAATTTAATTAAAAATCACTTCTTTTGTGTAAACATTTCATTTGTTTTGACTTTTTCTTCTTCTTCTTTTTTTTGGTAGTGCAATCCATTTCGAAAAATACACGCCACACGCGCGAAAAAAAGGATAAAAACTCCTTTAACCCCGTTTCTCAATTCACATTGTCCAGTCTCTTCGCAATGTTTATCTTTTTTTTTTGTCCCTTTGTTTACACAAAAAAGTGCCGCGAGCATCAATGAAAAGTCGATGAAAATATAGACAATAGGTTTCTCTTCATAAAGTCAGAGACTAAGTAGTAAAAGGTCAGACCCAGTAGTCAAACATTATATTTTTTCCGACATCCTCTAATATACCGATGTAAGGATTTAAAGAATTTTGAAAATTCTATTATCTTTAGAAAAAAATTAGAAAAATTTTTTTTAATTAAAATAATTTTATTTATTTACAATAAACGGATTTACAAAAATTAATTAAAATAAAAAATAAATTTAAATAACTAGGAAAAAAAATACTGTAAGGATTTAAAAAAAAAAATTGTACAATTTTGATATTGTTTTCACTTTTGTTATAATTAAAAAAAAAATTAATGATTTTTTAAAATGGACAAAAATTAATATTATTTGAAGATAAAAAATGAATTCAAAAAGAAATTACATGCTCGATATTTAGTGCTATAGTGGTTAGATCATTATCTGTATAATTATCGATAAAACTAAAATCCATGAATTATTAGAAATTTTAATGCATATATAATTTGATTTAGAGGGGTTTTAAATTTATCATGGAATTATTAGTAATTATATTAAAGAGTAGATACACCGAA